AATAAAAATAAATAAATAATAATAATAATGCTCTGGATACTGGGCATAAAGATCCCCTTTGCTGCCAATATATTGAACTCTCCTGTGTGCATTATAGCATCAGAGTGAGATTTGTGATTTATATTTGTTCACCTAGCTGGTATAATTTCAAAAGCAATGCCTCACTTTAAATTTTCTAAAGCAGCACTGAACAGGTTCTTGATTATAATGTATCTTATTATGTATGTAGTGTAAATGCATGTTCCCTGGAGCGCTTCTACAAGCATGCTCCTATGATCAAAAAGAAATCATTTGTGTGTTTGTAGTATACTGTATCTTGTCTGTGTTTGTATGTGCAAATACAAATATACATATCCATGAGCAACCTATTGAAGTGTATGCCAGCTTGTATACTCACTTGTATGTACCTCTTTGCTTTCCCCAATGATTCCTGACACTGTATCAGTATTATTAAATGTAAGATCCTACTTGATCTATTCATGTACAGTACAACACTGCAAGAATTGGTGTGAGCAAGGCCTTCACATACACACAAGTGAGAGATACTTTACCACACACGTCCTTGAGAAACAATACACAATTGTAAGAAAAATTATTTTCATGAGGAAAGCGTATAAATATTACAAGCTGGGCCTCCTCTTCAGGAACTAACCTTCTTTTTTGTTCTTTTACCCATTAAAAATAAATATGAATATATTATCAGTAATAATTATAAAATATATTATCTGACCTTCATTAAGTAATTTTTAAATAAAGTTAATACATATAGTTCAATATATTTACAACCCATTATTCAAGAGTTAGCCTGTGTTTAAACATATGCCATACCTACTTTATCCTGCTCTTCAGATTACATATACTGTAACTACTTGTTTCAAATTACTTTTATATACTGTAATGGTTGACCAATTTTCTGCTAACTAACAGCTCGACACACAATCCTAACAAAGACACTTTAAGCTCATTTCCTTCACCAAGAACGTCTAACTGGTCAATCTGAACATGTAGCCAATATATTATTTAAAGCAGGTGAGTTGAAATCACTTTTTTAATAATGCTCTCATAATCTGGTATCACAATATATACTTTTCTCTCTATCACCAGGGGGAACATCAAGGATTCAGCAGGTGTACATCTTAGTAAATACAGTTGCAGGCACAGCACCAACACAGGGACACTAAAGGTCTTCAAGATTCTTGGTGAAACTTCCTCAAGCTTAACAAACAGACCTCTCAAATTGACATCTGCTTTGGGTGTATGAAAAAGGTGTCACTTTACAGTACACAAAAAAAATAAATTAAAATGAATATACAGCACAGGTAGTTAGATATTTGAGCATCCGTAAAAAAAAAAAAAAATAATAAATTAGGCCATCCCTTCAAAATTAGATTTCAGCTCAGTACCCAAAAAATGAAAATGGCATTTCATATTATAAGCCCATGTAGTAGTCTAGCTCACTTGTTGATTTTGCCATGACCAATTCCTGGCTCAATGTCCACCATCACTGACAAGATTATAATTGCAGGCTGGACTTAAGGCACCTCCTGCATATTATTTTCATATACCATACACCCACTATACCAGATATAATTGTCACACTATTCTCAAGTTATTAAACACTTGCACTTTCATTAATTTATGGATCACTTAAACATTACAATATGGTCATTTTATGAGGAAGCACAATACTGTATCTCTCTTGATCAGTTGGTGTACTTCAATGGTCTGGTCACATGTAACACATAATTCATTATTCAGTCACTAGTGTTAATCATGCTGAGTTTGCTTCTGTATACATGAAGTGCACGAGAAAATATGGCTAGCTATGAAGAATAATAGAATGGCAAGGATTTACAAGACCATATATGGAGGAAAGATGGGGAGAGCTGGACTGTGCAGGAGATGGTTTAGTCAGTAGGCAACTAGTAAAGCTGTAGGAACATGGCAGTGGAGTATGTCAAAAGAATGACAAAAGACCATGAACATGGATGATAAAAAAGATATATGAAACACAAAGAGTAGTTCACGATGTATGTCTCACTAAGGAGATAACTTGGAGAGCCAACAAAAGTTATGGAGAACGCAAAGTGAACATGTTGTGAAGCATTCAATCTGAGCGGAATCCTTGTGGTTCGGTGTGTTACTCAACATAAGGGTAAATGGATTTTTGGTAGCTTTACACCCTAGGTTGTTAGGAATGGCACAAGGTCAATAAAAAAAAAAGAGATTCCTCAACAAACGTGACAGACAGTTAGCACCTGCACTTTGCTATATTAAAAGGTACTTATATACTGCGTGAGAAGATCCTATTTCAATTCCAGCAAAACAAACCCATGAAGGCAAAAGAATGAAGCCTGCATTTTCCCCCAAGAAGATACAAAAAACAAAAAGGGGAAGAGTGGTTCCAAAATTGAGTTTAATGTTTCCTTAATTTAGATTTTGTATAGCAAGTTGCTCCTTTTACAGGAGTGTATGGTTCTTCTGTGATATAACATCTGCTATTGATTACATTTAGTACCACGTAAAAATTCTACCGACTGATTTGAATCACCGCATTCTCCATAGCCTCAGACCACACGTGAGTCATTGTCAGAGCGATCCATTTGGGTGAGTTACTTACGGTGGGAAGTGTATCATGTTTGTTGTCCGAGAGTCATTGTATAGTAACTTCGATGTATAATGATTTATTAATGTGTCTGTGTTATTGAGCTGAATAATATATACCCGGTAGCGGTATGTAGAATTGGTGTTTAGAAAATTTCCCCTAAGAATATATTAAGAGGCAAATAACTAATCGGCCAAGCTACCAAACTTTCCTCACTTTACAATCCTACAACTATAACTTCTTCCTTTTTCTTCTATACGAGTTTTGACTTGTTACAAGGGACAGACCTTGACGACATGCCAAGTCCACACATACAGTCACTTAACACACACACATGCTCTTCATTTTTCTTATTTTATAGCAACATGCCATCTCCACTGATAATTATTTTTTCTAATTCTATAATGCTGTACAGCACTCACTGGGCCTGCGTGTTGTGCGTGGGTGGCGTGAGGAGGCTACCCTTGGACTTGACTGCCAATTGGACCACGCAAAATGTTTTTTAATTGATCATGTTTAGCCTAATTTTCCCGTGCTAGCCCGGCTCAAACCGTGTTCATTCGAATCTTAAACCCGTGTAAAGTGATATCAGATACTGTAGTAATAAAAAACAGCATTTGGGGGAATCCATGTTGAAAAAACAAGTGTTAAGTGAGGGGGCAGTAAAAAATTAGACAAACAGAAATTAAAAGGGGGCAGTATAAAATTAGACAAACAGAAATTAAAGTCGATACAAGGGAAAATACAATGAATTTGAGAACATTTTCACTAAGAATGAATGGATGGAAGCAAAAATATCAGACAATTAGTTAAGAAGACAAAGGTAAACTGGGAAAGCTGTTCAGCGAGTAAGACACAAAAACTGTGAGTACTGTAATCAGGTTTGGCAAGACTTGTGAAGAGTTGTGCAACACATGTGAACCATCAGGTGTGGAGAGTCTGATAGCACACTCCCACGGGGATAAGGAGCACAAGCAGTAAATATGAATGCTTTAAGAAGTGGATAGGATTATGTACTATGAATGCTTTAAGATTTGGATATGGTTAGAATGTATGTTTCATAAAGTAGATAGCTATGGTTAATATGTATGCTTTAAAGTGTGGATACTGCACACACAGATGTTTTAAGAAGTGAATATAACAGCTACACATGTTTAGACACATGTTGATGGCTAGTGTGACTGTTCTAAGAAGTGAACATGGAGGGACAGTGTATAGACCAGGGAGTGACAAAATGAGAGGGAGACATAGCAGTGAAGCATAGGCAGTATGAACATGTGGAAAAGGCAACCAAAATACATTCATGTCTGTGAGCACCAACAAGAACACCATGAGGTGAAAAAGACTGAAAGAACAAGTGAGGAGGTGCTTCAGTGGTAGAGGCTACAGCATGGACACAGAAGAGGTCATTATCTATGATGGAAGTTCAATAAAAGTCTCAGTCAGTCCTTTATACTGTATCAGGAAAAGGTTTATAGGTTATAGAGAGTGTGAATGAAAGATAAATAGAAAGAAATGCAGACAGATATTGATAGAAAACTCTACATAGAGGATACACATAGATAGAAATATCTACAGATTACTGCATATCATTAATAACAATACATTAAGGCATCTGATCAGCTGTTCAGTGGGTATTTTCCATTAAAAAAAGTGAAAAAATTATGTGTTGTGACCAAGTAAAAGAAATATTTAAATAGAAACAAACATATAGTGGTTGATGAAACTTAAATAGTAAACTCTACTGAGTCACTCGACCAGCACTAAAATGAAACATCAAACACTTACAAATATATATGTATGTATATCTACTGTATATGAAAAAATTCTACTTACCTTAATAAATTATTGGGGCTTATACAGCCACTTTAACTGACAAAATTCAACAACTCATGACACATTAAATATTTAAAACATCTATTAACCTACAAAAAATATTGTTATATTTCACATATGGTAATCATCAAACATCCACTAAAGCTGATTGTGTACTAATAGAGCTCGTGCGCATGACCACTTAAATCTGCTGGGTGAGGGATATCTAGGTAAATACTATCATTCCTTTCTCTTTATATAATTATCAACCACATCTTAAAATGTTTTCTTTATGCTTTTCAATTCCTCCATGCATGCTCCAGTGAACAGTATTATACTGTACTGCACTTGTAATACACCATTTTGGCAACTAGATAAAACTGCAAAATTCTCATTAAAATATTTTCCTATACAGTGTGTGTTACATATATACATATATATATATACATATATATATATATATATATATATATATATATATATATATATATATATATATATATATATATATATATATATATATATATATATATATATATATATATATATATATACTGTATATATATATATAATGATGGAGTGTGAATTAGCTTCTGTGATCCTATACATTGTTTTTTGCTTAATATTGTCTGGTAGTGGGTGTAGTAAACTAGCAATAGGAAAGGGAGAACTGTTTCTATGAGTAACCTCAGCATTTCATGCACAATGTAATGCTAATATTGTCTAAGACCATAATGTTTCATATGGTAATTAACAAACCATTCTTGACCTCAATGATGGGGCATGAAGAGTTCTAACAGTTATTTATTTCGTGGATTTCCATGATGGACACTGTCCTTGGGCCTCCGTGGTGGTGGCACAGGGCTCTCGGGCGGCGTTGTTGCGGCTGTCACAGCAGCAGATGCTTTACGCGGGGTCTTGAAGGATAACTTTTTATTTCCACGAGGAGATGAACCACTAGTGCTGTCGTCATTACTGCTCATGTGGTCCATCAAAAGTACACCTATGAAGAAAAAATCACAATTATGAGATAAATTTATAATTTTTAGCTAGGTTATGACAAGCAAGAGACAGAAATTGAAGATACTTTAAAAATTTCATCAATTATGATTTATAAAAACAAAAGACTTTCCACTAATATAAGGTACATGTTACACACAGAACAGTATACCTCAGCTATGTTCATGTTACACTTAAATGAAGTTTTAATTAATTATAATACTGTACACACAATAAGTATTTTTGCTATATGTATATATCTTGAGCTAAAAGTCTTAAAGAAGTTTTAAATAAAATTACAGCATTCAACATATAAACTTCTAGTTGATGGCAGAAGAAGGTAGGTAGCCTAAGTAGTTTAAATAATAAAAGGCGATGAAAGAACAACGGACACCCTGAAACTTCATGTTTTTATGTAAATCCTGATTACACGGGCATAAAAGAAACAAATTTTTGTCGTGGCAACAAAATGTGTCTATAAGCCACAATCCATCCTTAACCAAACACACATGCAGGAACTTATTCCAATCTCACATCTTTTTTTCTTCAGTGTTTACAACCATGTACTAAAGCTACTTCATAAACAAAATCCAAATTTAGTATTTTTGTTTTTGAATTTGAACATCACAACATGAAGCAGGATACTGTACCACAAATTTAAGAGAAAGAAAATTTGGTCTAAATGAGGCTCAGGATGTCCACTAAACATCCTTGCATCAATAATAATAATAATCCTGTTACTCTGGCTACACTTGGCTCCACCTGATGGTCTTCACAGGTGAGCACTGAACAATGAAATGTAATAAAAAATATAAAAAGAAAAATCACATACAGTATAAAAGGACTAAAAGAAGTAAAGGGTGCTAAATGTTTTGGAAATTATTATGAGTGGAAGAGAGGCAAGGACAATAGATACCAGACTTCTATCACACATAAATAAGTACATTGTAGGAGCAGAGGACATAATGGGATTTAAAGTATATTTTAGTTTTGACCCTGTGGACTCTCCCTTCAGTACAGTAACGATAAATTTTGATTTAACTTCATCCAAGCTATAGCCATTTTCTAGATTTCCTTCACTTTCCTCTCATTACATATTGTTCCACTTTCTGTCTGTGATACCACAATTGCTAAGACCAACCGTATTTACAGTTTTAATTTTGTGCGTCAGTTTCATCAATACAGAGGAAATAACTAACTCATTTAACTGATTTCTATGACAACAGATTGCCTGGAAAATTATTAAATGCAGTACTAATGGATTCTCATGGAAAAAAAATCTTTAGTGTAAGAAAATGCAGGACTTTTTATTTGTTTTTAAATTTCAGTTTGGTAAACCATTCACCTAAATTTAGAATATGGCTCGTTGGATGAAAACAGACATAGCTATACTCATATATAGATCAACATATTCAGAAGAGTTGGACACGGGACAAAATAATGCAGTTAGGTTAGAGAAAACAGACAAGTGGAATATGGGTGGAAGTAAGTCAACTTCTACATACACAGAATATTCAACTGTTGATGAACAATACTGAATTAATCTGAAAATTATCTCATCATCAATTTTGCATTCTAACAAGTATCAAAATAAATGATTGAAACATGAAATCCCATTCTATGGCCAAGTGGAAAAAAATGTGTGACCTGTGAGATACCACCGCAAGCACACCTTCAGCAGAGCATGCCATTCCTGGGTAGTGTGCACTGATTGGCAGTAGGGACACATTATCCAAAAGAACCATATTTATGCTGGGAGCATTCTTTTCACATCATCAAATCTGGATTGGTGGTTATCTCAAGGACTAATGAGGTTTCAGGTCAGGAGATGAAACTCGAGGACCTGCTCACTTTTTGAGACTCCTCTAACCATGTGGGCTCATACTCCAAACCTAACAGTTCCCACCTGATCTAAAAATCCCAATCTAGGGAGGTGTGTGAAAATCCATGTCACTGCTTCATGTCCTTAATCATTTAATGGGATTTCATGATTCAATTCATCACTGTGGCCTTTGGGTCCTAATTAGTGTCCCTGTAAGATGCAAATGTCTACGAATGGACATCCTGGATGCTTCCAAAATTAGGAAACACACCCATCAATGAGAGGTATGATGAATGAATCTAATGCCTGTTACATTCCTAGATTCACACAGGTTGGGTAGAAAGTCTAACAAAAAAAACTTTATATGATGATCATGACTTTTGCTCTAACATAGTCTTAACATATTTTCCTGTAAAAATGTTCCAATAAAAGGTAAGTTTGGCTAAGAAACTGGATTGTGATCATTACCAGAGTAATAATTATATTAGATATGCATGTTTTTGAGGCTTGCATTAACAGGATCTGTGTGGATAATGTTCCCCTACCACTAAACACAGCACATTTCCAGGGCAGGGTCAGACTGCTTGGGAGTGCTTAAACTATATCTTACATGTCGCTCATGAGGACTTGTAAGCCATAAAATAACTATTATGGCCACAAGCTTTGAATATCAAAGAAGACAGGATGAAAGTCTCTGAAACAGATTAGTTGAAGTTTTTAATTTTATATACCCGGTAAGTCAATAAATTTTACAGTTGCAAGTGCAAAGTAGAATGATGATTGTGTATCTACACACTTCATCAGCCAATTTTCACTGAATATACCAAGGTGATCACTAATTAATAAGCATCTGTATTTCACCATTTTTGCCACAGTTCTACCTATGTCATGAAGACGAAGTACTGTACTACTCGTATATAAGGAGTAAATACACAGCAAAACCTCACTAATCTGATCTATAAGGGGATAAAGGTGGGTTGAATTAGCAGATAAACTCTAATTGAAAAACAGACATTCATACATGGCTATTAACACATTTGTTGTTGCAATTTTCTTTTAGAAATGTGGCAAATCGAGGTAAAACTGTTCACATCGCCCATCAACAGAAAAGCATATATATATATATTTCTTTGTGATGTCATGCACCACCAAAATAAGGGGACATAACTACAAGCTCGCCAAGTTATCAGCAGAACAAACATAAGGAAGTATTTCTTCAGACAAAGGGTGGTAGATCTATGGAACAGTTTACCAGGTCAAGCTGTGTAATCAAGAACAATACTGAGCTTCAAAATAGTCCTTGACAAAATTATCAAGAACAATGGAGGGATCCTTCACAGGACAATGGCCTTCTTCCCTTAGCATGGCCACCTCTAGTGGGTGACCATTAGGTAAATAAGGTAAAATAAGGAATTTTAATTTATGGAAAGATTTTATGGAACCTAACCTTTCAGTATACTGGCAATGACTGTATATACCCTGTATACCAGTACAGTACATATAGGTAGATCCTATAAACCCAGAGCCTATAATTATATGGTTTATGCGACCAACACACTAATGTTACAGGTTGTTTAAGGACACTTTCTTAAAGAGACTTTACCAGAAAAAAAAATCTACCCATTGGTAAAAAAAAAAAAAAAAAAAATGCTAAATTTTGCCATATTTAGAAGATGAATAATAGCCAAGTCATGAGAACTCAGCCTTGGACTGGCTGCACCACCAACAATACAAGACTTAATGAGTTCAAGAGAGTCCACAGTCCTTATAGAATGTACCCTAATGAATTTGTTCCAATTATCTGAAAAGTGAATTAGTGAGGTTTTACCATATACCTAACACTTATTATACCACTATAATATCAACATCCTAGTAATAAATAAGATATCTAAGAATATGTAATTTTGTTTCCATAATGCAAAAAAAAGGAGGTGCAACAAAGGGGTGAATTGTTCACTCACGTGGAAGCTAAGCACAGTGCAGTTTGTGTAGCATAAAGTGAACCATGAGGCTAAAGAGTAGCACATACAATAAGAAAGTTTAAGTAATAACAATAATAATAATAATAATAATAATAATAATAATAATAATAATAATAATAATAATTAAAACTGGATATTTATATTTGAAGTAAGAGATCAAGAATTTAGGGACTAGAATCATGCATAAACAAATAACAAAGTAAGAAAACTGAAGAGGGAAACAAAGGTGATAAAGATGAGTCCAAGAAAGATAAAGTGACAAGAAAGTAGTAAGAGAGATTCAAAGACGACTGAACAGAATGGAATGGGTAAGGAAGATGGGTTGTGGGAAAAGATTGAGTGAGAAGGAACAGATAAAAAAAAAAAAAATGTGGTATTGCATACACGTGGCAGAGTATAAGAAGATAGGATCATGTAAAGATTAGGCACCTCTGGCACCTCTAGATTATTTCACCTAATGATTGAACACCCTCATGTTATCTGAAGGGGTTAGGTTATTATTAGGGTGTTTAAATGTCAGGTGAAATAAGCTGAGGGGAGCCTTATCTTAATGTGTTCTAGAAGATATGCAAAAGACAGAGGGAACTACACCAAGTGATTATGCACCACACAGGCACTATAAAAGTCAAGACATGAAATCACAAAAGTGGAATAAACAATGTGTACTTGTAGGTGCAATAATATGCTGGGAAATGTGGTTCAACATTTAGTACTCCACTGTAAGAGTGAAACAATTACACAAGTATAGTATGACGGTGATTGCAACCAAAGGAGAAACTTGGATAAAAAGAAGGACTTGAAGAAAAGAAGAGAGGCCAGAGAGAAATTATAAAGTGAGAAAAAATATTGCACAGAAAAAAAAAAGTCTCATGCCATATAAATAATTAGCAAGCTCCAGAGGTTGGGAAGTAAGGTGCTAAACGGATGGTGGAAAAATGACCTAGTACAGTACCGTACTCAGTGAATTAAAATGCAGAAAAATAGTGAAGAAAACCAAGGTAGAGTGTGTGAGTAACAGGTGGAGAGAGTACAACATGAATTGATATGGTCTAAGAAATACTGTGTGAATGGATGAGAACAAAGAATTGATATGAACCTAATGGTGAAGTGGATCTGTGAAGCAAGGAAACAAGACAAAGACAGATGTTAATACAGAAGAGTGTATGGAGAAAGGTGAGAATTAGGGTTTGCAGAGGAAACTCTACCTGGGCCACCAGAATGAACACTTGAATATGGCACAATGGATAAATACAAACATATTTTGTAAAAATATCAAGGCCACTATTTGATTAATTCATGATAAAACAATTAAACCACAGCAGTAATTACCAATTAATATTAAGCATTGGTGTTGATGTTGTATGTTAATTACTTTTCCAGTTATGAATGTTATTATTGCACAGCTCACTAAGCTGCATAAATAACTTCTTCTGATAGCAAAAAGAGGAATACTGTACACAAAAACCTTGACACTATCAACTTGTTTCTTTAAAAATTACTCAAAAGTGTAGGAAAAGTATAACATACTACTTTAAGTTTATGTGGACAATAACAATTTATATAGTAAATATATTTTTTAAACAAGTGTTAGAACAATAAAATGTCAGAAACACTGTTATATAAAACAATAAAAGCAACAAAATATAAAACTATACTTGGGTTATCATATAAATGAGTAACAAATGTGTCACTGGCTTGGCTGTCTAAATGCTTCACCTTCAAGTCATCAATGGGAGAGACTGTCATCCTAATTACCCTAACAAAATGATCATTACAATATATAAATATAATATAAATTTTCTCAAAGTTCAACAAAACAAATAGTAAATTTAACAGTGGGAATGTAATTTTTTTTAGAACATACACAGAAGTTTCAATTAATTCATCAACAATTCTTCAAGTTCAGTTCTCACTGAACACAGCAGTCAGTTTAGAAAAGGGTTTCTAAAAGCTCTCAACTATTAACTTTAGGGTCACTCTAAGCCCAGAAACTTTCACTTTCTGGGCAAACTATAATTCACTGTTCCCAAGACAACGTGCAGAAATGCAAGGTGAACGGTGGTTAGATGGCTCCCAATTTGTCTACATGCACATATACTGTAAAAGCAGGTTCCTGCACGCCACAGTACATACACACACACGCACACCACACAACACACCTATCTGATGTCTGACAAGACTCGCAGCATTGCTGGCTGTAATTGTTGTTCATTTTCCCTTGGGGTACGGGGAAGCTCTTGCTATATGCAGAGTTGCGACGAATGCTTCCTAGCATTTGCCGAACTCCTGTGTGCAGTTAACAGTAGTACATATCATATCTGTATCTACTTCTACATCATAGAATATCAAAAGGGCACATAAATCAAGTATTAAAAAAAATGCTAAAATAAATGTATTATCATAAAAACATGTTAAAATTACAAGGACTGTAAATAATTTGTATATACAGTACAGTAGAACTCTTTTCCCTCATGTTGTCTATCAAAAGCATAATCATCAATCTGAAAAAATACTGTGTTTATAATTATTAAAAAAAAAAAGGGCACTGCCAATGAATTGAAGAGATCTAAGAAAAGCAGGAGTAAAAGCACAACTGCAAAAGAAGTGGAAAATAATGAAGACAGTATTGGCCAATCACTTCTCAAATACCTTGAATATATTACAGGTATTCCAGTATGATAAAAGTAGTAATGTATGTACCAGTATATGAATGGCCAAGAATAAATGGAAACAGAGAGACATTGTAACCAAATCTGGAAATATCACTGCAGCTATACCCCTTGTATTTGTATAGCTGACAGTAACACATCTACTGTGACTGTATATCATGTACAGCACCTAGCAAATAAAAAATACTCCGAGTGAATAAGAGAGTGAGTGAGTACACACAGCGCTACTATTCAGAGTTAGGTGATGCTGCCAAACTACACTGAAAAATTTTTGGGTACACAACCATTTCTGTCCTCATCTGCTTTATGAGTCCCCATTAGTTTATCTAATGACATCTAGTTGTCAATAAAATCCATACACCTAAAGCCTTCTTCCTTGGTCAATATGAAAAAAAAAAAAAAATGCCTTTCTTAAGTGAAAAACAAAACAAAAAACATTCAATATCTTTTGTGTCCCAACATATGGTACTTTTCCATAACTTTACAAAAAAGAAATTGAATGGTCTTACTTTTGTTAAATAAAGATCTAACTAAAGCTACAGTTTATGTCAATCTTGTTAATATATACAGTGGTCCCTCGGTTAACGAAAGGTTCGATTAAAGAAATTTCGGATAACAAATTAGCTCCCATAAGGATTTTCAGTTCGATTGATGAACAAATCTTCGATTAACAAAATCCTTACGACAAACACGTTTTGTTGAGCGCATCAGCTGATCGGCTAGTCCGCCAATACAGTAATTGGTTCTTTGTTTACATTCGTTTTCAGTGAAGTAAATATGAAGAGGGGTGGTCTCTTGAATATTTCTGCATTTTTTATATTAAAATTATTGGTCATTCTGAAATTTAGTTAACATATTGATAATATATACAGCACAGGGAACAGTTTTTGTGCGCCCATCAGCTGATTGAATCACCCAACAACGCTTCTCAGTTTAACTTTGTTTACAGTGGAGTGAACATCAATTTTGTTGGTCTCTTGAAAATTTTTGCATTTTTACATTAAAATTATTGGTCATTCTGAAATTTAGTTAACATATTGATAACATACAGTGCAGAAATTATTATGAAACATGAAGAAGGCATTAGAACCAATGCACTCTGTAAAGAATATGGCATGTCATCATTGACTGCCTCTACAATCAGCTGTTTGATATGTAAACAAAGCTGCCGGGAATACGACATACACACCCCAAAGTAAGTTGAAATACAGTATTCTATTGTTTTTTATTTATTATTATACAGTACAGTATACTGTACAGTACAGTATACTGTATTTAGTTTATAATAAATTTTTTGTAAATTCTATTACTGGTATACAGTACTTTATATCCATACTTTTTCTGTGAGTTGGAACCAATTACCCAATATCCCATTGAAATAATAGATTCGGTTAACAAAATTTTTGGTTAACGAACGACTTTGTGGAACGAATTGTGTTCGTTAACCAAGGGACAACAGAAGTATTTCAATATCTAAAAAAAGAGAAACACAGAACAAGTAAAACAACATGATCATTTATCAGTCCGTAGCTCTATACAGTACAGTACCCCCAATGAGTTGACGGACATAAACTTAGAATCAGTTTCATTTCACGTTCCCTGTAAATATTAACACATCATAACAAGTAGCATCGAACAACTGACTCTGGGATGGCCCTCACTGGGAGACCATTAGTCATACGTGGCAGAGTCATCCAGTATAAATACAGTCAATCAGTCACTCAAAGTATCAATCTACAAATATCACACCAAGACACCACAGTGAATAGCAATCTGAACATATCACACGGACATACCATAATAAACAACATCCTCTACATGCATATTTCTCTTCAAAATTCAATAAAGAGAAACTATTTTAATTACAGCAGATAATCTATAGCAATTGGCAAAATCTGTCTTCCAGGTTCAGTTTTCCCATATTAATGTTTTGTAAATATCACTGTCATCATTTAACCATCTCTACACTCATTCATGTCCATGGCCCATCTTCTAACACAACCTTCCTTGATTAGCTCTCTCACTTTAGCTTTATTCTTACTCTGCGCCTATCCCCAATAACTCCTATCAATATAATAGCTTTCACTATTCACCTAACCTCAGTATTTTTCACAAATCTTATACTGTACTTAATGACCCTTTAATTCTTATACCACAATCTACCCTGATTTTACCATTACTTAATTCAATATTCATCCCTTAATATTTATATCTCATTCCCTCACACTTCAAGGGCAATTATTCTTCGGGTTTTGGAATCTTTACAAAAATATAACGACCTGTATATCTGTGCCTTTAGAAACACCACCAAACATTACAGTATGTAGATCAGTGAGTGAGTCCAGTTCATAGTTCATGAAAAGCCATCCCATAAAGAGTACATTGTCTGAAAAATACAATTATCATATAGCACTACCTAAAGAACTTGGAAAGTAAACCAGACATTAATTGCTACAAATAAAATTATAACTCACTTCGTGCTTTCTCCCGAAGGTGATGTTGTTCTCCTGTGGAGTAGCTTGTTGGTCGCGTGAGGGGAGGTCGCTGCGGTTGGCCAGGGGGTAGTTGAGGTCCATCTAGAAGAGCCGCTGCCAAGCCTGAGACACCTGTACCACCACCAAATCCACCCATGTTGGAGTCAAACACCCGAGAAGAAAATGATGTCCCTGTAATGTATGCCACTTTGTACAGGGTCTTATTCAAACTTTAAAAAAAAAAAATTCTCGGTCATTTTTGTGAATAAAGGGTTCATCATTCAACCCTTACTGTAGCAGAACATATACATGCATATAGATAAAATCATACATCACTATCAAGACACTGGAAAAATTAAATAAAAATATGTACAGTACAGTAAATAAAATGCTTAATTAATCTTTTAGCTTGGCACCATAATTATTTGTGTTGTTTTTCAGTATTGCAAGCCTTCTCCCATTATGCTGTAGAGCGGCAAGAATCAAGAGCAAACAAGGACTCTCTCCATTTGCTGTTACCCATTTATTCTAACTTCTGTGACATTCTCATAAACCACTCACTGCCATTATCTTCTGTCATTCACAGGCACTGCTGCTTCCCGAGTGTCAATCTCTCCTCATTTCAAGTGAAGTAGAAATTCTTGGCAATTACAATTAAATACATTATCTAAAATGTTAATGCAATAACCCTAACATTTACAGGACATATATAGCCATGATTTACATTCTTCAAGATAAACAAATACAGGGAATGAATATCATCATAGAACTACTGTCACTGAGTAATTGGATCATAAGTTATGACTTCTTGAAGAGCAGCAAGATCAACTATGGAATTCTCCCCACTTAACACCAGGAAGCATTTTAGTTTTTAACTTTCATCCACAATAAAAGCATTCAAAGCAGAAGGCATTTCTGAAATAAAGAAAACTAATGAATAAAAATATTAAAATATGGCATTCCTTTAACATGACTTCTTTATGTAAGCAATTCTGAATCTTAACATACAGAATATCAAACTTTATGCTGTACATGAAGACACATTAACACTGACAAGAGCATGGTTGGGAAGGTGATGATAAAGAACAGGAAGAGGAAGATAATAGTGGGCAGGGATATAAGATAATAGATGGGAACAAATATTGAACAGGATAATGGGAGGACGCGATATAATTATGCAGTACGGAGGTAAGAGGAATAACATACAATAATGGTGTGGATGAGTTAAAAAAAAGAAAATGGGAAAAGGGAAGAGAAAAGGGAGAGCAAAGAAAGAGGAGCAATAATAAACAAAAGGGAAGAGGAGAGGAAGAGGAGAGGAGGAGGAGGAGGAGGACCAAGAGGAGAAAGACGAGAAAGAAAAAAATCAGTAAGAAGAAGTGGTGGGGAAACAAGTTAGAGAGTAGAAAGGATGAAGGAAAGTGTAAAATTGTTATAAAAAATGAAATATTTTCAAGAAATCATGCAGAAAAACAAAATTCTTAAACAAAAACACAAAATTCTTCATAAGACGGACACACAGACACAGCTACAGTTGTATGACGCAAACACAAAACACGAGAGAACAGACACACACATTTTTATCCATTTACCCTAAGCTTAGAGAATCCATGCTCTCTCCAACCAAGACACGTCCAGGACTATAGTGAGAGAGACATACAGCTCCCTCACACCTACCTACAGCACTTCACTAAAACCTGACTATTGTACTTGAAACTGGTGAACATGCTCAGATATTTTTAAAGCATTACAGTTATCTTTCATACTTGTCATAACAACTACTAAGAAACAAATAAACTGTAATAGGTAGGTCATACTGTACTGCTCATGGGTAACAATAAACTTTACCGAATGAAAATTTATACCTTCTTTAAATGCATTGATTCCCTGTGCAAATCTCTTAAAGCCAAGATAACCTATGTTTCTCACTTTATATACTGTAGTATTAAGACCTATAATGTGCCCAAATTTCCTTAACTAATAAAATTGGCCCAACAGTAATCAGAGTTAGTTATTTGGCCCAACAGTAATCAGAGTTAGTTATCCATTCAATACCCGTACAGTTGAGAAAAACAACAATCAGCTTACTTAACAGATTGAAGAAGCTTGTCCAGGCATATGCAAAGTTTACTTATTTGATGTAGAGGTAAACATCAGTACTGGTAGCAAGGTGAGCAATACTTCGGTCAACACTTTTATCTCATGTTACCCTTGACTGACAACTATCTTTATAGATAGTTCAATACCCTCCACAAAGAACACTATTCACAACAGGCACACACACTGCAGCCACTACAGCAGACACTATATATAGTTCCAGATTATCTACAGAAATTATCAACTACATGATATAGTTGAAGAGATAGATAGTAACTATAGGAGGCACCAAAGTCACATGCTTAGGAAGCTCCCAGCCAACAATAACCAACCTCCCGGCGCGAGTACGATACGTGGCCAGAGTTACACTAGGTCTTCTTCACTGGGGTTGTAGGACAGCATGCTTCCTGTTGCAACAGAATGGTGCACAGCAAGCTTAGGGAATGTAGCAGCAAGTGCCAAGATGCTGGGTGGGATATTTGCACAGCAACATAATGCAGTCATATGAAGGAGAGATCTCTTGATCGTGTTTCACAACAATGGACTATGGTTGGCCTATTCAATTTTTATGTGAGTGCAATAAGTTAAAACAGCCAACACTAACAATGTGAAATAAACAAACACTTAAAACTTCTTTAACATTAAATAAACTAAAGATAACCAATTAATACTTTTCAACATTGTATGAACAAGGATACAATACATCTGTCTCTCTCATATGGAACACAAGACTAGCAAGGGGAGGGAGTATATATGGAAACTGCCTTTGATATTCAACTCAAGAAAATAAATCCACCTACACTAGTAAATATCCAAAAGTGAACTGTATAAAAATCAAAGGATACTTGAGAGTGCCAAATGTAATGTTATGGTTATGCATGACCCATACTATTACTGGGGGAGAGAGAGGGAGGGACATTATAAAGAATAAGCATGTCACTAGCCCTCTTGCAGGGTTATCAATCAACATTTATAAAAATGCACATTCCATAAGGTGACTACAGGATTAACCCTTTCTTTACTGCAAACCAACACTCACTATGGTATTAACTCACTCTTAGGTGTGGTATGCATGTACTGTACATTATATAACTACAGTTCTGGTTTGCAGTGAAGAAGGACTTAACTACTCTCTTTAATGCAAGAAATACAGATTTGAAAATAATGATACCGTAAATACAGTACAATATAAATACAGTAATATCTCCGTTAGCTGGAATCCCTCAAACCCAGAACCCTCCGATAGCTGGATTTGAAATTTTCTCGGAAAATTCCGGCTTTGGGAACGATTTCCCGAGAGGCACATTTTCCAGAAAATTCTGAGAAAATTTTTCCAATACCCAGAAAATTCCGGAAAATATCAGGGATGAGGGATATTTTTCTGGGTTTGAGAGATGATGTAATGGGTAATTTCTGGAACTTCCGAGAAAATTTTTCCGTTACCCGGAAAATTCCAGGGATAAGGGATTTTTATCCGACTTTGAGAGAGTAGTCTCATTACCCATAAATCTCTCATTCCCGGAAGTGCTCAGCACCAATTGTTCTGGCTAACGGGGATATCACTGTATGAGTAACCTGAGGAAATATCCTTAAACCTGAACCAGTGAGTTAATGCACAATTGTAAATGGATTACTCTGACATAAAATTCTGAGAGAGGATTATTTAATGACAAAGGAAGGAACATAAAATCACTACAGAATTAGTTTTTGATAAAGGAAAAAAAATAATATCTGTGCAAGTGCTGATGTGAATGAAATTTGGGCTCCATTTTAACATGGCACATATAACTAGTTATTCAATATAGTGTGCACTGACAGCCTGAACTTTGCTGGTTTACAACAAACCCCTATTAACATTTACCACAAGATGTCGTCTTGCATGTTAACCGCCACCATGTACACTGCCACCACAACTACCATCATCACCACCACCACCACCACCACCAACACCACCACCATCATCATCACCATCATCATCATCACTGCCACCACAACTACCATCATCACCACCACCACCACCACCACCAACACCACCACCATCATCATCACCATCATCATCATCACTGCCACCACAATTACCACCACCACCACCATCAACACTACCACCACCATCAACACTACCACCACCATCACCATTACTGCATAATCATTGATACAATTTATCTATCATACAGCAAGTAATTCATGTCAGTTGATCTTACAAACAAAAGATTTAAATTTAAAGTACTGTAATTTGTTTCAATCAAAAGACAACAAATCAATTCTTCCTATGGTGATCTTTGAGCCTTGTCCATGACATTGACCTTTGAACACTTAATGTGGTTCATGACACATCCTCAAAATATAAATCTGTGTCAAGTTTCATTTGAATTCCATCACTGGTTAAGTCACTATGAACTGGTCACAAAATACATAACATAAAGGCTGGATGGATGGATGTATCTCTAGCCTTCTGTTGCTTGTATGTCAACAGACTGTTAATCATTATTATTACTGCTACAGGTATTACTACTAAGTATGGACAGATCGATCAATAAAGTGGTGATTAGGTGCTCCACCCACAGTTCAGGAAGCATACAAACTGTGTAAAAAATATGACTTACCTGATGCCCGAGTTGGTCCAGAAGTAAAGGATGCAGGGAAGACAGGACAGTACACTGATGAGATAAAGGCTTCAAAAGTCGTAGCTTCGCTGTACTGCTCTATGATGGTGTCCAGTGCCCGGGCTCTCTCTTCATAGCTGTCAATGGAGTTGGAGGAGATGTAAGAGACAGATCTCTTTCAAACTACTGAATGTTTATGGCTCAAAATGAAAGTCTACTAAGTATATGTCTAATTAATATAAAACTTACCACTAGTTGATGTAAATAATAATCATACAAAATTCAATAATTCACTGACTTCAAATGATAACCCAAAATGTGAGTAAAATGACAACTGTTTAAATCTTAAAAAAAAAAAAAATAGCAGTTCATGTATACTGCACCTGTAACTCAACATACACAGCCACGCTGAAGGATTTTACCTGACATGTACTCTTATGTCTCACAGCTAATTTTTATATTCTTATTCCAGCTGTTGCTGGTGCACAAAATTGGTTTTACAAGATTTAATATTTTAGTTTTCTTTTTTTAAAAACATTTAAGTACAATGGTTTCAATGGAGCACAAGCATTTGCAAACACAATTAAAAAATGGTTAAACTTTTTCTTCTTCAGTCTTAATAAGATTAGTGTCCACTTGTCAAATCTAAAGACAAATACTGTACTGTATCATAAGTTCATTTGGTTAGATATCTAAAAAAATAAAAGTACAGTATAATTATGAGCTCCCACGTCACTGCTGTGGAGGGAGGGGGGACACATCACTGCCCCCATGACACCCCTATTCATTGCCAATGACAGTGACATTTGTCAGAGATCTCACATGACCTATTACCAAAGGTCTGATCAGTGTTAAAGCTGATGTTGACACTGTATGACCTGATGTTCATAATCAGCCAATGCACTTATAAGGGTTATCTGCTCCCTTGGATCCCCCAAGGAGGACCAACCAGCCCTTCACCCTCCACCCCCTTTCTTGGGTGTGTGCCCAGACACAAAATCTGGTAGCTCAAAATTGTATAAAAAAAAAAGATAGGTTTGTAATTTTTATTGCAATATTAATGGTTTTTGGAAAGAAATTTAAGGCCTGGAACACATCTTAATTTTCTTCACAATTAACAACACCCATTCCCATGCATATAATATCCATTGTGTTCTCCAGGAACATAACCTCCACAGAAGAAGTGGACTTACTGTACTTTAATGCAGAACACTTTATGTAGTGAAGTTCCTTTCTACAATGCATATAATAGAAATACAGTAGGATCTCAAGTTTAGCGAGTTTTTGAGTCGCGATTCATATGTTTTGCATCACTTTTAAAATTTCCAGCCTCTCAAGAATAGCTATTTTCATTACCAGTTTCGTGAGTCATTGTTGAGTGGACAGCGCGCATTGTCACTGTCTTTTGTTATCCGTTGACCCGCCGAGGGTTTTTTTTTTACAGCATAAAGCAGTTAGTTTGAATGAGCGAGCGGTGCAGTGACCTTGGATTATATGACCCATTGTGCTTACGTTTCGCGAGATTCTTGTTTGACTATTAGCGATTCTTGTGTATTAACGATGAGTGAGGTGCGTAATGTAAATGTCGTGAGCGGTTCTGGTGGTAATGATGGCCGTAAAGAAGGTCAACAAGGAAAGCCCCAAGCCAAGCGTGACTCCCGTAAGGGGGTCAAGAAGAGGAAATACACCCTTGAAATGAAACAAGAGATGCTTGAAATGATCAAAAGTGGTGCTCGCACCTGTGAAATCATGCATAGGTTCAACTGCCCCTGAATCAACCATACGTTCCATAAAGAAGACCAAGGAAGCCTTAACTGCTTCTGTAAATGTATTCTCAAGATTTTCTAGTAGCAGGACGTTCTCCGATTCTTCACAACGAAACCTACTGTTAGTTATCACAGAACATTACCTTCACAAGCAGGTGGAAAGAAGAAACCATTAGCAAGGCGACCTGTCTGGACCACAGATAAGGCATCAGGCACGTGCTTATTATGCTGTAGTTGCACAAAAGAAACATGTTAACTCTCCACCACCGTTCAATGCTTCTGTTGGTTGGTTGGCTGCCTTTAAGAAGCGTTATGAAGTCAAGTTTACCCACTACTATGGTGAGAGCGCATTGACTGATGTCATAGCAGCAGAAAAATATCCACATGTCTTTCAAGCTCTTGTGAAAGAGGGTGGTTATTGCCGAGAGCAGATCATCAATGGTGACGAAAATGGCATTTTCTGTAAGCACTCACCTAAGACCACTTTAATTGCCAAGGATAAAAAACAGGCAAGGGGTGTAAAGACTTCAAAAGACAGGATTACAGTTTTATTCACAGCTAATGCTAGTGGAGACTTCTTGATGAAAACCCTGGTTGTTAACCGTGCTGCCTGTCCTAGAGCCTACCGTCATGCTAACATGTTGCAGCTCAATGTTTATTGGACGTCTAATAAGAAAGCTTGGGTTACAAAGTCTTCATGCACCGATTGGTTTGACAAGCACTTTGTTCCTGACGCCAAACAGAACTGCCGGAGGAAGAACATTGACTTCAAAGTGATCCTGGTGATGGATAATGCTCCTGGACACTCTAAGATTCTATAGCCACCCTAATGTACAAGTTATCATCCTTCCTCCTAACACCATATCGCTTCTGCAGCCACTTGACCACGAATTCATCAGTGATGTTAAACTGTTCTACTATCAGTCACTCTAGAAAGATTTTTGTCTGCAGACAGACTCATTAGTTGAGTTACAACAAATCGAGGCAGAACTCGATGACAGTGACCAGGCTCTACCAGCTAACCAGGAGGAGGAGGAGGAGGAGATGGTAGACGACCTGACTCCTAGCACCTCACCACCCCACAAATGTGAAGTGTTATCCATTTGTGAATTTTGGAAGAAATATATTAAAAATGCAGTACAGTAGACAGAATTGTTGAGACATGGCATAAGATTAATGTTGCAACAGTGCTACACGCATGGAAGCCTCTGCTCGCTAACTCTGAGATAAGTGGGGCAGAGCAGACCAAGGCAAGCGGAGAGAGGCAGTCCGAGGTGACAACACTAATGGACACAGTGGAAGCAGCGCACTCAGTCCCAGCACCAGGATTTTCAGGTGTTCTGGTTGAAAATTTGCAAGAAATCGTTGGTCAATATCAGCAGCAACCAACAATTGAAGAAATGTTAGAGGATGATGAAGAACAAGAATAACAGCAACCAACACAAGAGGATGACGTTAAGCCTGGTGAATCTACAACACGCCAGCTGACTGAGTTGCTCACAAACATCGCACGTCTCAGTGAACAGTTAGAAGAATACGATACCAGGCCTCATCCTCGGAACTTAATGTGTTCTGCCCTTGATATGGGTATGGAGGAATATAAGGCCTTGTACATGTCCCGTGTTAATACTCGTCAGCAGGCCCTTATTACTCGGTACTTGCGCAAGGCCCAGCCGGTTAATGCCTTGGCAAACATCACTTTAGGAGATGATGATGTTACCACTGATGATGATATTGAAGTGTTGGGTGACTTACTGGTGGAAGAGCTGCCTCAAGACTTTGAGGGATTTGATGCTGAGGTTAGAGGAGGTGTAGAGAAGGGAGCAGGGAGGAAGCAGTAACCAGCCCTCCCTGCCCTTCATCAAGGTAAGTTATTCTACAGTATGAGAGTACATAAATATTGTTATCAACAATATGTACAATATAATATGTATGAATACATTACTGTAATGTCATTTTCTTGGTGAGTTTTAGGTCATTATAGGGGGGTTTGAATGACACCACGGAACAGATAGGCTTATTTATATGTATTTCAATGTCACTCGTTTTGCGATTTTAACTTTTGCGACGCTAAAACTGGTATCAATTAGTCGCGAAACATGAGATCCTACAGTAATGTTCTAATCAGGAGCTAATAGTATTACATTATATCAGAACTAATATAGAACACATTAATGAACTTACAAATTCTGATAAAGTGCCAGTCGGCTGCGTTTGGCTCTAGATGCATTAATGGCTGTACTACGCACCAACCCTGGCAACACCTTGTGAGCCACTATTGCTCCATCAAACAGAGGTCCAAAGAATGGAACCTGAAAAATAAAGAAGACATAAGAAACAATGAGTGACTAAGTCTTCTGCAACATGAGATACCATACTGGAGTACTGTGTGAAAGGAAAAAATGAATCATAAGTTAACTCCTGTAGTAGAAAAGTAAAGTCTGCCTTAAGAGGTCAGATGACAGTAGTGTACAGTATTTCTTAGTACACACTACAGTTCTGTACTTACATCCGGTTTTGTAGAAATTTGTATTCTGTACAGCCTGTTAGGTAGTGGATATATGACAATAAGGACATCACAGAATTCAGTTGGGATGATGCCTCTCCGGTAGTCCCGAGTGTGTTCCGACCATACAATGTGAACCTCGTCATTACCCAAGTGGCGAGTCTGCAGGGATATAATGTAACAATATACTGTATATGAATCCATTAATTTGCTTTTATATTCAAGGGTCAAAACTAAGTGAGAGTTTATGTTTCAATACTGATGTACCAATATTAGAGGTATCCAAAAAATAAATAAAAAATTATCCTTTAAAGCATTTCATATTCGTTCATTGTTATATATTTCAATTCGTATCACTGCATACAGTTTATACTCTAGTTATCTATCCATAATCTACAGGTTACACCAACACAAAAGGTGCTAAACATCCATCAATTATGACAGATCACCTTATGTTCCTTAATACTGATATTTTTCTAGATCCATAACCATAGCTACACACCTTTCCAGGCTTATGTATTTCTCAACCACATAAAACTTATCTTTTCTTTATTACCAGTACCACTGTTTTTGTCTGTGTTTGTAACCAATTATTCATCGTTATTTATACTGTATTGTAGTTATATTTCTAAGGAGTTACTTCACTCGTATAAACTCTGTCAGACCTGAAGTAACACTTTACCTTTTGCAACATGCTTTGTTCAGAAAATGATGGCATACGAGTAGATACATGGAAAACCACCTCAGTTAATGAAGTAGCATAGTATGGAGCAGTCTCCCCTGTTGAACCATTGCGTTGAAGGCCACCAAGAAAACCTGTATGTGTTGCCAATTCCACTTCCCAGCCCAGACCAGCAACAAACTCCTGTGAGGGACATTAACAGTTAGACTATATAGTGTATACTGCATAATGAAAATTTGTTGGAGATCTATACTGACTTTTACTCAAATATCTAGTATTAACTGCAGGTTTCTACCTTGTTCTATTAACTTAAAACCTTCATCCACATTTACACATCCTCTCCTACTCATTTACACAATGCAAACATATCTACATTATAAATAATACATATTTTCTTTTTGCACACTAATTCACCATTTGATATTTGTTTATACTGTACTCACTTCTCTCATTCCCATATGATAGTTTCACTGCCCACAATCTGTGATCATTCCTCTAGAATCACCACTTGTAGAAGTAGCTTTCATACATTTACTTTTTGTCCCAACTCCTCAAAACTAATACTGTATCTTCAACTTGGTTCTCACCCAAGGTGCATCATCTCAATGCCTTCCTTATCAGATACATATTTCTCAAAATAGGACTTGTTATATTTTGTTGCCTTCTAAACACAAAGTAATACAAGAGTTTCTCACCTCAAAGCCTGCAGAACCTGCACTGTTGCTGAGGATGGACATTTTGTCCTCCTGACCTTCAGCCACATATATCACAGCCAGCTTATGAGTCTCTCGACATTTCTGAAACACGATGTAATATATACAGGTCACAACAACCACTCTATGGAATCAAATACTCATGATATGTAAAGAATATATTTTCAGGTTTTAGAAAATGAGTAAGATTATAAAATTTTCTTATGAGAATGGCAAGTTTTGCTCACTGAATACTGTACAGTGGTGTAATCAGTCCCTATACACTCAATTGATAAAACATCTTCAATAATAGAAATCATACAATATATAATTAGTACTGTAATTTAATCTGAGAATAAAAGGATAAGCTGCATTGAAGGTAGTACCTCATTCCCCCCTCCTCCCTCCTGCAACACTGTAAGCTAATGGAAAATTTCCATTAAACAGAAACAATTTAATATGATAAGAAATAGAATAAAACAAGATATCAAGAGGAAATGATTATATACATTTTATTATTTCTATTTTAATATAATGGACACTGAGACTTGATAAGGATGTGCTAACATGGAATGTGGATTTGAGTCATGACAATGTTACTGGTACTCTACTTATCCCAGTCCGTGTACGTACCTCCCAAACACAGATGTCCTCAGATAGTCGTATTTCTTTCAGCAACCATATTGAATAGGTTTATGGACATGGGGCATCAACATGGTAGGTTGAAAATAAACAAATGTTCATTCATGGTGGTGTTGTACCATTGCTTTTCCACAATGATTTTGCAATTACCACTGCTCCACTCACCTGCACCACAAACACCTCGTGCATGTGTTGGTTATGCATTCTTACCCAATATATGTTCAACAAGTTTAGAACCACTTTTACCTTACCTTCAGCTTCACTTTCCTCCTGGTCTCTAAGCATTTCTCCTCTGCTTAGTTTGTGAGTGCCACTATTGCTGAAACTCACAAACAAGCTACCATTTCCAAATTTACTCAGCAAATCTCCGAGTTCTTCGAACTCACCCTCGTGCTCTGATTTCCATAATATTTTACTTATTTTTCCGGGTGTCAAGGCAACACTACTTTGGCGATGAGTCTTTCTGTATGACGCATCACTGGAATTGTCAGATACTTCCTCCATGACAACAAAAACACTACTGATAAAAGGAGGGACATGGGGAGAGACCAACGTGGGCATGGAAAAGATGCTATGAGTCACAATGAATCACCCGAGCAAAAATCAGGCACCTAACTTTAAAATTGTGGCACAGAAAGATCCTGATTATATACTGTAGATGATCGCTGTTGTAGTGGGACAAAAGGCATTAATTCACAATCACTGTAATTTAGGGATTAAAGGATAGAGAAAATGAAAATGGAAAACTAGATTCTAAATGAAAACAAAAGTTACAAACAACTAACCTGATTATCTAAATTCTTCAATTCTCGCAGTAATTTGTCATTTTTCTTTAGTGTATGAATGGATCGTCGTTTTTCCCATGATCCTAGACCCAACTGGTCAAAGAGGAGTCGACCTTGTTGGAATGCTGATCTTGACTCTACTGGTGTAGGACAGTGGCCACTTGGACAAACCATGCTAAGAAAAGAAAATCACGTAAAAAAATAAGTTACAAGCAGACTACACAGTTCATTTGGTTATCAGATATAGCACGCAAACAGCATTTCCATCTAAAAAATAACTGATCATGAAAGAAAAGAGGAGTAAACTGCTTATTTTTTTTATAATTAATCTTATATATTTAGAAAACCTGGGTTAGGAGAGACAGCTGTAAATGGATGAAATAGAGCAAGACAAATTTATAAGCTGAGGAATACATAACTCATTAGGTCTTATAAATATAAGAACAAAATCTGGAGCTTATGACAATAATGTTCATTCAGCCTTGTCAATAAAAATAGCACTTACGAGGGGTACCTGATTTACGAACATCCGACTTACGAACGCCCACCGATACGAACGGGGTTAAACTTGAAATTTATAGTTCGTACTTGTACAATATTTTATTAACCTGATGACTTAATTTTCTTACTTTCATTTACAGTACTGTATTTTGTCATTCTATTTCTTATTTTGTCTTAAATTAAGTAATTTTAGATGTTTATAAGGACTTAGGCTATGATATAGTGGGATTTTAAACATTGTTATGTAAGTATGGTATGCACATAGCATGTTTTCTGACTTCTGTACAAATCCGACTTAAGAACGCCTTCAGGAACGGAACCTGTTCGTAGCCCGGGGACCTCCTGTATTCCCAACCGAGTAGTGTACCTGACTACAGAAAACATTACTCTTGTGGTTTATCACCTTAAAATTAAGTTAAAAAATAAATATAATCAATATGAACTTTCAACAGGGTGGATAAATTTTCTTGGAATCCACATGATCAGAAAAATACTGCTATAAAACAGAACCTAAGAAAATGAACGAAAATTTAATCATCTTAAGAAACTCTGTAACTAATACTGCAGACTTTGAACTCACTTGGGATCTGTAGAGTGTCTGCTGAAGAAGTCATTTTCAACATTACGTTGGTTTAGAATGGTTGAGATGGCATCATGCTGAGCCTCGATGGGGAGAGTTGGAGGAGGACCAATAGCTTCATTCAATGCATGACCAAACTGCTCCAAAACTTCAGGGCTTGTATGTCCTACATAACTCAACAGCTGAGAAAGATGAATATACACAATGTGAGCCTCCAGTATTTATAGGGCATAGAGCCATCTCCAAATTGGGTAAGCAGTCTGTGCTTTCATTAAATACTGTAATTAAGTTGTAGATTTGAAGGTGTTTTGAAGAGGCTGGTGGTCAAGAGAGCATAACTAACATACTTTAAGTCTTTACACAATAAAAATACATGACAGTGAATCAATTCAAAAAGCAAACATAGTGTATTCACATTTCATGTTTAAAAAGGAAGAGTTTTAACTTTGCACATTTTAAATCAATTCAAATCAGGTTACAAGAATAATATGAACCAGATTTTGTTGAACAACCGGTCAATTTTGCCAACAACCATTGATGTGCAGAAGCAAATAAACGTACATCATCAAGGTTGTCAAGATCATCTGCAGATTCCTCGTGTGTTGGTAGTACACCTGGTGGGCGGTGTCTGACTGTGTGTCTGGGTGGTGAAGTTACCACAAATGAAGATGACATTGTATCATCCCGACTTGCATCAAGACCTGGGCACCCAGCAGTATTAAACTGAACCCCGAGTGCAGAATAACCAACACTTGTCACTATTGATGGTGATGCTCCTGCACTGGCCTGAAATATATTTACATATCAATAGATGCAACACTACACAGTCATCTAAATTCCCCAATACTGTACTTGAATAATATTGAAATTAGGGAAGCTGTCCCATTTAGCATAAGACATCATTTTACTAATAGATTAATTTGTATGTTAAAATTTAATAATAATAATAATAAACCCCCCTAAATGCTCCTCAAAGTATACTACAGAAATGACACTCTGAATAATGGACAAATAAGTGAATATATGGCCTCAGGAAACCCATTTCAATGACTATCCACCCTCAAACTTGTCAAGAGAGGAATAATTAATAAAGTTGATGGTAGCGAGAAAATAAAATTATCTATCAAGACAGTAAATGCCAATCTCAGTTACACTGTCAAGATGAAGAACACATGAAGAGCATGAAGCATATCTTAACAAGAATACCAACCCCTGGGGAAATGTTTGATTGCTGCTGTACTTGTGACTGTAACTGTTGTTGTTGCTGCTGATGTGGCTGTTGCTGCTGTTGATGATGGGTGGGCTGTTCAGGCACATATTCAGTTGGTGGGGCATAAAGGAGCGAGGCATCCCAAGAGAACTTCCCTGATAAGTCCCGCAGGATGAGTCGCACCTGATGGCAAATATAAAACATGACCAATATGTCTATTGCATAGGCTTAAGAGTTCTTTACCCTATATTTTCTATAGCAATTTGAAGTCAAGAGTATAAACTGTAAACATTAAAATAATCTGAACATCTTGCCTCTGAATTTGGTGTTTTAAATCCCACTGTAGCTGCACCACCGGGGACCTGTAGTGCTGGTAGCTGCACCAAGGACAGCAGACATGACTGATTAAGTGCAAATAGTTGTACATGAGGGGACAGGAACACTTCAGAGGACAGTTCATCCCCAGAGAGTCCTGGTACATCATCTCCTTCCACAACCAGAGATGAGAGACGCTGAGCTCCCACACCCAGGGGAAAGTGCCACAAGTGGTTCATGATATGGCTTGTAATCTGCAAAAAATTCAGTCGTGGTCAGATGGATACTGTATGTCCCCCACCTAACATAATTAACCCAAATTACCTGTTTACTGAATTTAATTAAAATCAAATACCTAAAGAATTGTAAAAGACAAAGTCTAAAAACTGAGGAAAAGTAAAAAAAAAAAAAAAAAATGCCCAAACCAACCAAACAGCTAGAAAATCTAATCAGGACATCTATGGAAGCACATTAAGAAGCCTACAAACCTTTTATTGCTCAGCACTGGAAACATTTTGCACACAGGCAGGTTAGTGGACAGGTGCAAATAAATGTATCCCCCCTGTATATTCATTGGGGGCTTAAAAACATAAACCAAGGAACAAAGAGTAAAGAATAACTTCCCTTATAGCACAAAGATATAGACCCCAAATTCAGAAACAGTAATAAAGTAAGAGCAAATGGTAAAATTCAAGCAATATGCAGTAAAAGTTCACCTTAATGACAAGGTAAAACATCTCACACCAAGGTACTCATACCAGAAAAATAAAGCACTCAAAAGCAATCAAAGTTTATGTGTGTACAATACCCTGGAGAAACTGTAAACCTAAATAAGAGTGCAGTGAGATATTCTTCAGTCACTCAGATGCAAAATTAAATATTAAAACTTTACTTACTGATCTTGCTGCCAGTTTGATGGTGGATGTGCAGGATGGGGGGAAGGATGATCTCTTTAGGGAGTCTCCTCTAGTGGCGGAGTCCATGCTGCCTGTCCTGCCATTATCTTCCCGTACGTAGCCATCAAAATCCACCACTTCCAAATTTGGTGATCTGATGTGACTACTTTTCTTCCCACTGACAACAACTTGTAAAACCTTAAAAAAAATAAAAATAAAAATCGAACTTATCAAAGAAAAAATAACAAGTGCCATGAAAGGATGAAAGTACGGTACAGTACTTATCTATTGAGGACAATAAATATAAATGCAAAAATTCAATTGGACAAGAGTTTAAAGTTACTAATCTGTAATGTGTACACTTTGGGCACTAATGACCTTCATCACAACAAATTTCAGAAAAATCAATCATCCTATTTTGAGATATGGCTGTTTAGTGCCACTGCTCCCCCTTGTTACACTATAATTAATAATCCCTATAATTTTTGAGCCACTATTTTAAAAAACTAAATGATGAGTTTTATTCTAAAAAATTTAAAGCATTCTGAGAAGAGAAAACCAACCTTAAATACATGTTGCAGAAGAGGTTGCTTGTCTTGTGTGGGTTGAATGAGAACCTGTTGAGGCATGCGCATGACCCACTCAGCCAAGCAAAAGAGAGATGAAAGCACGAGGTGTTTCCCCTCAGAACTGGTGGTGAAGCTCATGTCTGTTCCAATTGATCCCAGAGTTTGACACAGAACCTGGAAAATGAAAATTAAGAACAATAATTCCATAAATAAATTTAAGTGCAGTTCCAAAATACAACCTGGAGTCTGATGAGGAAATGAGAACAAAACATCAATATATGAACTGTGTGTGTGCCAAATAGTGTGTGTTTGATGAATATTTATATCATATATTAACAAGAAAACAGGTTGAAAGGTTTGGGGTGAAGGTCTATCTGTTTATGAGTTGCTTGTCTCCAAAAAAGAATTATTTAAATAGTTTAGAAAAAGAAATGCAGATGAGAAGCCAAGCTAAATAAAAATAAATAAATAAATAAATAAATAAATAACAGAGAGAAACAAGTTGAAGAAAGAAATTATGAGACTTTAAGTTTCAATAGAAGCTATGTGAGAAAATGAAAAGAACAGAATGTGAACTAAATGAGGCAGAAATACTATGGAGCAAAAAAGAGTCTGCTAGCTATTAGTGGAAATTGGAAAAACTGAACAAGAGAGCAAAAAGATGGTAAGATTGAGCAAAAGAACAATGGATGAGGATTTTGGCAATTGAACAGATGATAACTTCAAGAAAATGGTAAATCTTTGTGGAAGGAGAAAAATAAGATCAAGAACAAGGGATGTGCCACGAATAGAGATATTTTACGTAATGAGAGATATGGTAAATGAAGAAGCTGAAAATAAATAAACAGAGTAATTTTGAGATCCAGCATGATTGGATGACACAAGAGAAGTTGACAAAGAATTCAGGAGAGAACTGATGAGATATAGATTAGAGGTACAGACATTGCAAAACATGAAGTAAAGCATTATAAACTGGTAAGTTGAGAGGTATATGTAAGATGGTGAGCACAATGATTAAAAGAGGATGCATAATCAATCATTCATGACTGAATAGATGTGGGCAAGCAAATGAGGATTGGTAAAAGGTCATTTTCATCCTTCTGTATAATGGCAAATGAATCAAGAATGAGTTCAAAGATTTGGAAGAATTGGTCTTCTGAGCATAGCAGGTAGAGAGGTACCGTACTGTATATGGAAGGATATTGATCAATGTGTAAGAGGCATTGCAGATATGTTCATAGGTAAGGAACAGAAAGATATTTGAAAAGAAAGAGGTTTATTGATCATACTAGATGAAGCTGAGAGTTTTCAGAGGACAAAGGTGAACAGAGCAATTATTTGCATTTAAGCAGAGAGAACCTTCAAAAAGGTTAGAGTACATGCCATACATCTGCCATATGATACAGTAAGTAAATACTGTAGCAAAGCTTCATGGAGAGTTTTTATGTTTGAATCATGTGTGTAAAAGTACCAGTGAGCACTGTAGTGTGTATGAGTAGTTTGAGTTACTGCAAGTGGAGGAGTCTTGTGTGTGTGATCACTCTTTACTTAATTAAAGTCTTTTGGGAAGGATCAATAAGAGAAATGAAAGTAATTAGAGGTGATAGTGGAATAAAACTGAAGAAATATGACACAGAGTAGAAGCTGCCTTGTTTATTGTGTGCAAATGATATTGTGTTGTCAGCTACACCTAAAGGTGAGTTTGAGAAAATGTTATACGCTGTTCTAGCATCTTCTCCCCTAACATTTCCTTCCTTTATTGAGGTGTCAGTTTCCTTTGATCAACTCTAGAAAAATTGGGAGAATAGTTAGTTAGTTAGTTATCACTCACTTGGATAATTCTGGTGGGAATATCGGGGTAGTGGGTGAGGAAGGCCTCAGCGTGGTCACACAGTAGCAGCAGTAGATCTGCTGCTACTTGACCTACCAATCGTCCAACCTGTGAAAATTAATTCAATACTCAATAACTGAGATATAAACTCATAATTACAATGTTACATCTAGTTCTATCATATTTGGGAAGTCTCCCTAAATAACTATACAATTCTCTTAGAAAATTAGCACAACTGTACATAAAGTATTTTTGAAAAATCAAATTGAATCAATTCTAGTATCTGCAGCATTCATTACCTGTGGCTATAATTAAAAAAAGTTGGCCTTAATTCTCAGAATGATATAATGTGCATTAGCCAATCCATATAAAATACATTGATTCTCTTTCACATAAACAGTATAACAATGATCACTAAATCATTATGGCAAGAGCTTATTCATATCAAATGTTATCTCTGATTCCAAATTCGTATCAAATGCCGACTTTGATCCTAATTCATGAATATACTTGGTCAGTCATATGTGCACCAAAAGGGTTTTCTGTGGTCAGGATACCATATTTAAAAGTAAAAAAGCCAATGCAGCAATAAAATAATGTTGTTGAATACTAAAGTTAAATGAGTCCAGGAGTGCCATTACTAGGAGGAACCATCAATTTATGTGTGACTTTCAAACTATTATTCTTAGCAAATACTGTATACTGTACTAACACTGTACTATATTGATGGACAATTTCAATTCCACTTTGCAGGTCAAAATTATACATATGCTAATATATATGTTGTGTATCTTCATGTACTGAAAAAAATACACTACATCCCAATGAGTCTACAGCTCTTCTAAAATTGTCATGCATACAAGCCTTCTCTCCTTATGATGCAGGGTGACTGGATAAATGCAGATATTTTGATTCTTAACATTCAGCAGCTAGTGGGCTACTTCATCCCCCTGACAGGATGCAAGTTTACTAAAAGTATGTTCCAACAATAGCATGTACACCTGCTAGTGCACTCGTTTATTGCTGAGGGCACAAGGATTAGTGTATAGAGAAGGAACCAACCCTGTTGTGAATCGAACCCATGACCATTCACTTGTGAGGTGAATGACCTACTAACTAAACTGCAGAGCCACTACTGTATTTTAATTATTTTTATAATCAAACAAAGTAATCCCTTCTTATGCTGCATTTGCTCCAGGGGTATAACACATACATAAACCAAGAAGACACAAGCAATATGACCAGTAGTTACACAAATTAACAAAGGTACAGCACAACACTACCTGGCAGCTGTAATGATGTAGATTTAAGTACAATGAATATCATTCTTAACCTGATATCCAAACCTTAATGACTATATTTCAGTGTTTATGGAGGAACAATCACAACAAGTCAAGATTAACATAGCATTCCTACCTGTTTATTATAATTCACCACATGTTAGTAAGTGAATAAAGTACTTCCCTAAGTCTATAAACTCACCACACAGCATCACAATGCCAAGGTTACAGATGATTATCATAAGTAAAAACTAAATCTCTTTATAAGAGAAGGAAGCTTTATCAGTTTCACAATAATTTGAAGGAGTTTTAGAATTTTGAAGTCCAATCTTAATCATAATCTTATCTAAAAGTATCACCATATATCCTCAGTCTTCAGTTTCAGTCTTATCCTCTTTGTCACTTGCCAGCTTACTAGCCAGTTGGGTGGTCAGTCTGTTCTCTGTTGTGTACTATTGGCTAATACAACAGCCACTGAAAATGGACTAACCCCAACCACAATTGGATTACCCTGTACAGGTAACTCTAAAACTAGTTTTTTTCCTTTTAGTTGCAAATTTTCTGATATCAATTTTTTTAATCCTCAAAACATGTTTTTTTTTTTTTGCATTACTGTATGTCCCCAAAACTATTATACCACACACACTGTCTCTTCTACCAGTCAATCTCGCCTAGTGCTTTTTTATATATACTGTATTTATAATGTGTTTTCAAACTGAATGACTTCACACTGCAGCCCCTCAAAATACATTCACATCAACTACCTTGCAGTTCATTCAATTCTCCCCACCAACAGCACATTCCAACAATCCTCTATATAGTATTCTGCATATTTCCTCACAATTCCCTCTACAATACTTCCCAATCACCAATTCTTGTTTTTAAATCTTGCTTCACTTTCATGCTTTCTCTTACACTCAAACTCTTAATACTGTGCAGCATTCATGTATTCTTAACATCTCTCTCTTCCCTCCTTGGTCTTCTCATTCTTGGTGCATCTGTACTCACCATAACCCACCTTTCTCTTCCTACCTGGTACTTTAACCTGATCCATAATATTCTGGGACTGAACCCCTAATACTCAAGCACATGACATTATACCCACAATCTTCTTCTGCTCTTACCATCTCACACACTCCTGAACTTAAACCCTTCACTTACCCCTAAACTCAACCATCCTTTAAATTTTATCACTGTTTTCCTCTTAAACAAAGACAACCAGGCTCCTTTCACCCATCACATTTTTAGACACTCTTTCATCACAGCAATTACATCCACACATATTCAAATATTGCACTAAGTACTGACAAATATTAGCCTTTCAAATTGTTTCCCTGTTACCTTTACTTTTAAAACTTGTTATATTTATTTCTAAGCTTGAACATTATCTTTCCTTAGTAATGGTTAGGTACTGCTCAACTAACTTATTAATATTCTTCTAATCTTAGCTCATTTTGATTAGCTACCCTGCAACTTTATCTGTCCACTCATTTGTGGGGTCAGTGCACATGCCTAATAACAGTAGTATACAGTAGATGCCGGTCTTTCAATAAACATTCCTTATAATAATCATCAGCAACCCAGAACCCTTCACCCATACATTATCACACAGAAGGAGGTACCTCAGTACTCTGGGCCAGATGCTTAGCTTGGTGCGGTGAAGATACTGCCTGCTAGAATGCAAAATACTTATCAGTCTCATCATGCAGGGAAATGCTGTACTTATTGCCAAAGGACCAGATGTGGAAAATGTGTAGCAATTAGTATGTTTAAAACATATACAGCAAAAGCTTTGAATATCCTACAATGCTACCAAATCCTTAAAAAAATGAAAACTTAAAAACAACTATAATTCAATTTAATTACAGTACAAAAACATAATAAATAACAATAATAATACTGGTGTTAACATAAGTATAAAAAACTACATGAAAATTTACAGCTGTGATAACACAGGTGATAGAAAATTTCCAACGATATTCAAATGAGCTACACAGTTTTACACTAGAGACATGTACAGTAATTCCAGTACTTTTTGTAGTTACAACATGAAACTCATTCTAAGAGGCATAAATCACTACATAAAAGCATCACTATAAAATTTGCACACAAAAAATTTATGTCCTAAGATCCTCCTAAAACAAAAATAGATAATATGTAAGTCATGCATGACTGATGGATTTGTGCAAATGATTGATCACACTGCCTAGCTAATGGATCCATTGCCTTTTCTCCCTCCAGGAATAGACATTCCAGCAAGAGAAAATACTAAAAATCACAGCTCACTAACAAACCTCTAATTGCTCAGTTCCCACACTGAAAATGTGGGCTAGAAGTAAGAGGGCCATCAAGCTGTAAAACTTGCTTTAAATTTGTTTGATGGCAACCAGGACACCATGCCATCAGGTATTCATGCCTAACAAGAGCAAACATAGAAAATGGCAGAAAGTGATGATAATGATGATGAATACCAGATGCTTGGGTTTCAGCATGCCTACTCCTAACTTGTATTTGAATCAGTCTAAACTATGTCGTGTGTATACTGTACAGCATGCCCTGACAATTTACGGATTTTTAATTCGCGAACCTCGATTATTCACCAATGACACCCTGGATATACCCAAGAATGTCTAAGGGTAGTTTTAAAGTTGCTGGCATTTTTGCAGCTGGGACAGGGAGCCATTCATTCTAGAGACAGTAATTTCTTTTACCTGTATATGTGTGTGTGTGTGTGTGTGTGTGTGTGTGTGTAGACACACACACAAAACATAAAAATAAATTATAATGGGAAAATCCTCTCACAAATAATCAGAAACAAGACAACAAAAATGTGTTAAAAATGTTAGAGTCTACCCTCAAGTCAACTCCGTGCCCGCAGCGTTTCCTGTCTCATGTTTACACTCAACCATTGCCTGCAACACAGTATCTCTTGTGTTGTGGTTCAAAACTTTAGTATTTTTATGTGAAATGGACTCTAAAAGACTGCCTAGTGTCAGTGCTAGTGGAGTGAAACATAAAAGGCAGAAGTCAGTGATGACCCTGACAAAGAAAGGTGAATTATTAGATAAGTTAAAGAGGGGATGAGTACTGCCGTGGCTGGTCGGTTGTTTGGCATATGTATACAGTAGTGCACTAAGGCAGGCTAAGTTGCTATTCGTGGTTTTGCCTATTCGAGCCATTCCTTGGAATCTAACCCCCGCGAATAACAAGGGTTTACTATATTTCACTTAACGGTCAGTTTTTTCAGGAACATATCCCAATCGTTAAACAAGGGATACCTGTATAGTTAACAGATGAACCTTGTAAACTTTATTACACTTCTTACAGTACATCTCTGACCATGAATAATCTTTTTACCTTTACAGGAAACATCAAATCATAATCTTTCATCTCAAATTTTATCACTTGTCCTGGGTATTAACCACAAAATGTATTAAGTCAAGGAAAAAGTAAAATAGAAAAATAGAGCTACATTTATACTGCTCACAAGGCATATTTGCATATGGTAATTGCACAAAGAGTACTGGAATTTCTGTATAGTTTGCAATCTCTATTGACCTTATCTCTTAAATCAAACACACAGCAATCTATATTGTATCAACATAAAAATACTAAGCATCAAACTTACTGAATTATTCATGCATAACTGGTTACAACAACTAAGGTCATGCAATGATGGTTTTCAAATCAAGTAAATTTCATCATATCAAGCACTAATATTAAGCAAAAATAAGAAATAAATAAAGTTACAATTTGTTAGATTAGTAAGGTAAGTACATTACATACTAATTACACCATACAGTAAAACCCTGAAAATCCCAAATCAAATTTTCTGAAAATACTAATTTTCTAAAAGGAATAAACTTAAATTTTCATTCAGTTCCAGAAAATGTTTTTGATAGTTCAGGCACATAACCTTGACTTCATATACCATTACAATACAGAGTGCTGTACTGTATAATATTAAATTTTATTTTATTGAACTGTAATGTATTGGTACTTTCATTATTCATGCTAATCTACAATAAATGAAAGGTTAAATGTATTTTTATTAAATATTTTGGTCATTAAAGTGTTTCTAGTAAACCAGAACTTAACTCTGCATTACAACTATGAGTTATAAAACCAAATCAACTATTCAACAAAATCCATTCCAAAAGCATACACCTGATCCTGGGGTACTTCACCTTTTCTGGATTTTACTGTATATCAAATTATACTCTGTCAACTGCAACACTGTGACCAATCAAAATTATAGTATGAGAAATAATCTTAACTCCCAGAAGTATCAGTGGCATTCAGACTTACCTTGAGGGATGCTAGGAGAACGTTGATTGCCTCGTTGACTTTGGTGTGGAATGTTTGGTGGGCCAGTTCATGGTAGAGGTAGATAGCCAGGGTACTTAGGGCTAGGGATCTCGTGCGCCACCATCCATCTCGTTTACCACTCTTCAGCAGTACATTCACCAAATGATCCTGCATAATAAAGGCGAAGAATTAAATACAAATACAGTATATCTACAAAGATATTACTTCATTTATAATTATAATGATACAATGATAACAACTGAGTATGATAATTAAATCTTAACAGAATAGGTTGGGCACATACCTTCACATTAGTGTAGTTCATGATTAGGCTGTTTTTAAATAATTATGAAATACTTGTAAATTATAAGACTAAAACATAAATCACAGCCAGTCAGGTTGGATACAAACCTTAACATCAGAACAATTCATGAGAGCCAGGTCAGCTGCTGAGGGCTGAAGGACTGGCATGGACGGGTAGAGCGAGGACAGTGGCAGCAATGACCCAAGCAAACTCAAGGCCTCCAGTTTTGGAGCTTGCTATTAGGAAAATATTACCATATTTAAAACTACAATTACTTCCTTTATTAACCTTCACTTGTACCTACACACATGAATATTAAGCATCAAAATTAAAGATGCACAATACAATATTCTCTCCAAAAGAGAAAGCGTTATGTCAAACCCTCTGGCAAAGGCTGCCTAAACCTGGGGGTGTATTATTTGTGTGGATTTCACAGATTACTCGCTGATATCCTATATGTAATACAGAGAATTTGTCACAACTTACAACTTTGGTTTCAGGGGATGTGATAACTGTGTTGGTGGCGAAGATAAAGTCTAGGGTGAGCATGGTAGCACCTGGCAGACCAAGGGAGAAGAAGCTTGGACCACACTCTGCCACTAAGGTATTAATAACTTCCTGTAATCAAAGGAAATTATTGGAGTTTGGTCTGCATAAAAAACTGCCTGAAGTTAAGCATATTCTACATAACTATAAGAATAATGAAACAAAAATGTGAAAGTATAATTTATCATATACACAATGAAGGAAAAAATGGTTCAACCCTTATAGTATTGGTCTCAAACCCTTATACTGTATTTTACAGTATTGTACAATAAATTGGAGTTTTTTAATTGTAATGAAATATATACAATTTACAAGAATTGGCAGAAATCAGGAAAAAGAATTTTCAGTACAGCATAAAGAAACAGAGGAAATGAGCAAGAGATCTTAAAGTGGTAAAACACAAGGGCCCAAGTATTAAGGTAACACAGCCTCACAGACAGACAGGAGAACAAACTGTACAAGCTGAGTATATGACAGGGGAACATCTTGAGGCAACATTACAGGAAAAAAGAAGTAAAGATGATTGACTAAGCTAAGGAATAAGGTCCATGAATGAATAAAAGCTAATATAACCCAATCGAATTTACTTACTAAACAATATTTTTCTGTTGAAGGATATCCTGAATACAACACAATAATTATTGTACGGTACTTAGGTATGCAAACTCTTCTTTTAGAAAATTTGACTAAAAAATTCAAATAAATTAAAAGTGCAATCATACTTGTGGTGACAAAGCTAATAATAATAATAGCAATAAAAATAATAATAATAATAATAATAAAAAACTTAAAGAAGCCTACAATAGCAAACTAATACAATATATCTATCCTATTAAGGCTCACTTGATGTATTGATGACCTTTGACCCTTATAAGATGGTCAAATAGACAAATCTATTTATGGGCACCAGCGAGACAACTTTGGCTCTTATAAAATGCCCACGAATTTTTATACTCCTCAAAGCTTTTTATCATTATTTAAGGACAGCACTAACACATCTTTGCACCAAATCCCATAAAAACTCACTTTATTTTGATAATACTGTAGTGGACAAAGACAAAAATAAATAAACAAATTAGGCACTTTTGTGACTTCTGATTCCTAAAAAAAAAAAAAAAAAAGAAAGAAGATAAAATGTACAAATTTCCTATTCTTAAAAGTTAAAGTACGTGGTGGTTAGTAAGGTACAATATATTTCTATTAACTTTTATATTACGTGTCCTTGGTTTAAACAAATTGAACAATAAGTGGCTCACAGTTGAAAAAGTTTTGATCCAATGTATAATATTGACAAGGAGAGAAAGAACACTGGATAAACCCTAAGTCTCCCTCCTCAGGCAGAAAAATAATAATACACGTCATGTGAAGCAACTCCACATAAACCAAACAGGCACAGAGGTTTAGTACTGAGAATTCAAATATTCATGGTGGAATATCCTTTGGCCATACTGATTTTACAGTGCAATTCCCTTCTATATGTTCTAAATATATAGTGTCTTTGTTCCTTAAATATAAATAATACTGAGAACTAAAAACATTCTCAATCATAAAATTCATTAAATAGTCTTACCTTGACTCCTCTTCCTCATTCACATAGAGGAGGATCAATAGGTACAGAAACATTAAAGAAAAGATGGATATAATGTGCAAGTGGCACTACAGAAAATGGAAATACTCTACCCACAAGCACTTGTTCACATCCTCAAATTGCACATGCAGCATACTAAATGAATCTGCCTCAAAAACTGATTCACAATGCACCATAACAATTCACTATGTTTACTGAGTTGTCAGGTTTATCCATGTTTAACCCTGTCACGTACACAACTTGGGAAGAGAAATTTCCTTACCTGATCTTGACCAACAAGACCCTGATGTAAGACTCTGTAGAAGTGTGTGAGTATGTCACGGGGAAGCTGGAGGTCGTGCCGCCGCACAATCATTACACATAATAATCGGTACGCCAGAGTTTTGCCTCGATGAAATTGGGGTGGTAAAGTCAGGGCCTGGTGAGAAGAAAATGTTTACCAACTTGCAAATAATGAGTAAAACAAATATCTATTATCACTATTCAACATACCTGTACTGTATTATCATAATATAAAAGTGGGGTGCAGTATACTGTACAGGTACACCTATTTTTACGATCTGATCTTTGACCTTCCATTGGCATTCAGCGTTATCTTGTGATGATTTATATCCTTGAGGCATTTCATTAAAATATCTCTATCAATACAAGAGTTATGTTCAAGACATGGACAAATTTATAGGCATCCAGATACACTGACAAACAGATTGCGTAATGCCATGAAAAAATGAATTTCCAACACGGTTATAAAATATAAAATAATTATGAAGTACATTATTTACATTTACACTGAATACCAATGGCATGAACACAGACAGGCAAATATGGGAAAAGAAGGGAATTCATTACTACCACCATTATCATCATCATTTTATGGATACTCTCCACACTTGCACGGGTTAACCAGACAAGGATGTCCCTACCTGCTCACCTCTGCAAACCCAGGGTGCCAGTCCAGAAATGCAGCAGAGACCAGGGGATGGGCAGGATGAGCACAGCTCTGGTGACCTGATTGCCATCAGACATGTTGAGGCAAAGTTTTACTGTTGGATGCCCTTCCTAATGCCAACCCATAGGATGGGAACAGCTGGCAAAGTAGGATCACAACTCCATGAGGTTATCGAAGACTACCCACCTACCTTGTGCAAAAATATGCTGTGAGAAAAGAAATCCTAGTCAATAAGTAATTATGCTAATTTTCATGGTGAACTTACCCTGAAACACCATGGAGCGACTAGTGTGAGTGGAGGTATAAGTTCTGGAGGCTCAGGACTGCTTTGGTTGTCAACGGTAATACTTTGATTGCTACGCAACTGTCAAGAAAGGGAAAGAAAATATTTAATGTATGCATTCAGCAAAAAAGAATATTTAATACAATTCTAGAGCACACACAGTTAAAAAATTACTAAGTTATATCACATGAATCATCCTGAATTAAGTACATCATCAAATTTTCTTACCTTTACCAATGTGTCAGTGAGTTCTGAGAGATATTTGAATATCTGTGCATGAATAAGGGGAGAAGCCACATCATTAGGATCACCAAGAAGGCCTAAGACTCGCCGCCATAAGACAACGGCAACGTCTGGTAGCCAGCCACGAACAGTCCCACCTGACATCACTGAACGTTGGTCAGATGATAGCCCTCCTTCTAAGGTATCTGAAATTTTTTTAAATAACCCTTGCAATAACAAATCATTGAAATCAAAAGGTGGTGATGATCAAAGAACTTTACAATACTGTACTAGTTACAGGAGTTCTTTGAACTCTATAAGTGTATTTTATAACAAACTTGTGCTTACTGATTGTTGAATCTTGTAGTACTTATCACTTACAGTACTCTGATTTCCCCTTTTTAAGTAACACTATATCACTGGATGGAAAAAGCAATAAACTTCTTCTGGAACAAACCTATGCTAGTAGTATCTCCCCCAAGTTCAATCTGCATCGGTGAATCCTTCATGGATGACGACTCTACACCTGAGGATGGTGAAGGGGAGGGCGTACGCGAGTCATCCTCTCCATACCCTAAATTAATATACATAATCAATAAAAGATAATGCAATTCAAAGGTACAGACTGGAAATACGACCAAAAATTATTAGTAAACTACAAACATTCCGTATCATTTTATACAAAGTGAAAAGTAACATCAGGATTTATTTATTTTTAATCCAGGTGCTATTCATCTTTTTCTTTTAAATTACGTATTTCAGTGATTTTATTCCCTAATCCAGAAGTTTAAATCCTTTTCATGACTTTCATAACCTTAAAAAAATTCTTATAACTGACTAATACAGTATAATTAATCATGTTTGAAAATTTCAATAAAAATGAAGTCAAAGTAACTCCTCTGGTGACAAGTGAATCCCAAGCATACAAAAGACTAAACAAAGTTTTACCATGAAAAGCAATAGTCAATATTCCCATATAGCTCAAACTCACATTTGCATGACACAAACTTCCACTTAATTATAACTCTGCTGGCAAACAGATATACTGTACAGTACAATATAACAAAATCTAATATCAAGTGATTCTAATTTCTACATATTGTAGCAATATATTCTGATCAACATGAGGATTCTCAGAGCTCTGATGCTGTCTATGAAGAAATGTAATGAAATATTTGAAGCCATTCAGTGAAACTTCAATTAAGAATGAAAAATAAACAGTTCCTCACAAAGGCAAATAAGACGTAGCACCGAGAGTTTTATCCTGAATGAAGATCCACTCATGATTAGAACCTCAAAAGGTTAGGTCAGGTCAGGTCAGGTCAGGTTAAGTTAGGTTGAGTTGGTTGGGTTTGGGTTACACCAAGTTAGGTTAGGTAAGAAAAGACATAACACTTTTAATGTCTGATCATCTAATAATACTTAAGGAAGAAAGGAAGGAAAGAGGGGTAGAATAATATGGATTTTAAATATCATACACTTAATACTTAACAGAAAATAAGAATTCTAATAAAATAAATATCTAATGGATATACTTATAAGCATGATTTACTTTGATAGTATTTCATAGAGTTAAGACTCAAAGGCAGGTTCTACATTAGGGACATCTTTCAACGTATTGGTTTGTGTAGACCACTTGATGTACAGTTGCCTCTACATGAACGTACCACAACCTGGGAGTGTGAGAAGGCTTGGGTATGAGATGTGGCACCGCAACGCCATTATCGGGGCTGAATGAATCAGCATGAAACAGGGAAATTACCCTGTTTGTGTGGCCACACATCAAAGCTAAAAAACATTGATCACATGGATGCTTTATTTGTTTATATTATGCAGAAATGTTGTGTAGCTGTGACTGAGTGATTAGGACTGAACTACAGGGAACCGGCAAACAGGGTAATCCACAGTTTCATGCCCATGACTTTGGCACTACGTTGCCACATCTTGTACCTATGCCCTCACACATTCCCAGGCCGTGGTACATTCATGTAGAAGTAACTGTGCAGTATTTTCTCAAGAGAGCTCACTACAGTATCTTGTGTTTCCATCTTAATTATCTTATACTTTCTGCTCAGATTTAATGCTACCAGTATATGCTTTATTAATTCAAAACTTATATTTTTTTTATTATATGGCAAAAAAAATACCCAAGAACAACCAGACTACCATCACGAATAAGCAATCCAAGGGCAAAAACAGATAATCATCCTTGCCACTCCTCACACAGCAAGGACTGAGTTTACTTCTAATACACTCCTAAGGATGTGAAGATAATAAAATTAAAGATCATTAATATGTAAGCAACCAATATGACATCAAAGTAAATCAAGCATCTTGTAACAACTAAATAAATGAACAGGGTAAATGTGGTTCAGTGTGTCTAAGTAGTGTACAAACTATAGAAGGTGTAGTGGCGATTGTTATCATACTACAGTATAACAGTGACTGTGAATCTACAATGGAAAAGTGACTGTGATCCTACCAAGGTTAAGTGACAATGAATCTATTGTGAGAGAGTGATTGTGATCCTACTATGGGTAAGTGGCAATAAATCTAAAGTGGGGAAACTGTGGGAAATTGACTGAACCTATCATAGGACAGGACAGTGATTGTGAACCTACCGTGGGAAAGGGTCTCCAGGGATTTAGATCTGGTGCCGTGCAAGTACCGGTGACTGCTCATGTGACCGTCACACTCCCCTGGGTATAACAACAATCAAACATTCACTAACACACACAATGTCTTTGGTACCCATTTCTCAGGATGGTAAAAGAAATAATTTACAATCATTTTTTTTTTACAACATGCATGAACAGGCACAAGTCAGTGGTGATCACTTTATTTTCACAAGTGCCTCTGTGAAACTACATACATAAAAAAGTATACTGTACAATTATGTACTAATAAACAAACAGAGATTATATACATAATAATCATATGCACAAATAACACAAAAATTTCTGGTTCATGAGGCACAACTTTTCAAAATGACAAGTCACAGACCCGAAGTATTGAATCTGTCTAAAGTTGTGAGGCCAACTAGGTTCCTTAAGTCAGTTATAAAATAACCCTCCAAAAACAGAATGTGCATCGAGGACAATTAGAGTATGACAAGAAATTAGAGGATGTGTGCCCTCTAATCCTTCTGCCTACCTCAAATCCACCACTGGTAAAATAATTTAAACTTTCTACATAAATTCCTCTTGGTGGGAAGAAAGGAAATGAAAGATGATTTGGTACATGTGAAGCAATAATTAAAGAAGCAATTAAGAACACCATCTATGGAAAATTTCAGATATGAACAATTTTGGATACAATGGGTATCACTCATCATCAAAACCTAAACCAATGAAAATGTATTATTTCCAGGTGCAATCCTTAATAGCCCTGATATTAACTTTCATTTATCCTACTAAAATGTCTCACAAACATTCTAACTCCTCACCTTAAAATGTGTATCATCACAGTACAGTACAGTACAGTACAGTACATTATATACAAACAAGAGTAACCTGAGAAATGATCAAATGCTGTGTCAGCACTTGTTGGTCAAAATGTTCTCACAGTCAGTCAGGTTGTGTGGTCATAGTGCTGATGATGCTACTATAAATGATTCACCCTTAACCACTGCAGTTTAGGTATATTAAAGACACTAATATCTACAATTCCAACCCCAAAAGTAGTATTAAGCAGCTTTACATGAAGCAAAATAAAATTAAAGAAAATATAAGCCAGAAAATACAATCTTACCCCACACACATACCACATGAGTCAACCCCAGTGGGAGATCTAGCTAAAAAGTGGTTTTAGTGACTGTGAAGACCAAAGGAAACAATCCCACTAGTGTTTCAGGAATAAAACTCTTCTTTAAATATTAGTCTTAATATACCATCGACACAATGGAAAAAAAAGATGGCAAAATCTGCTATGCAATGATAAACATCTTGCAACCACTGTTATAAAATTTTAGATCTGCTTGTGGGACTCATATGATACAAAATGCAATGAATAACCAGTTATTTTATTCCCTCCAAGACTTTCATCATTTATTACTTGGTACATTTAAAATCAGTACATTAATACCCCATTGGAAGTTGATTTGCTCTTAAGATCTTGGCTTTTTTCTTTTAATTTTAGAGCGCATAAAAACTTGTGAATTCGAATGAAGCGGACACACCTGCCATTTTTGTTTATGCTTGCTGAACAGGGTAAGCCAATGGGTAGAAGACCATACTCAGTGCCACTTGCCTTTAAGTCAGTTTATTATCATGGAGAAAGCAAGAAGCATCTTTAACCTAATATACTGCTGGTGATCAAGGGTCGTTTGGTGTGAGATACCATTGTGCATGAAACAGTGTGGGCAGCCGAGTTCTAGCATTCACCCAGAACAATTTTCATTCTCAGAGACTTTTTAAAACACTCTTAAATATTCCATGGAACTAGTTTTGCATATAGTACCTGCTGATTTATAAAAAAAATAGTTACCACTAGCCCCCGCCCTTTTAAAAGTTCATATATTACATGCAATACCGAATCTACTTCTAATACAACTGATTTGAGAATATCATGAAGCAGGCAAAACAAAATTTACTTAATAAATGAGCAATAAGATGAAAAAAGAGATAAAAGTAAAAGACAAAATGCTGCATAACATAAACAATGTACACCTAAAGATATTACAGTAACCCTCAAAGCACACCCAAAATAGAAGATAGGTAATTGTCCATTGTAAAATAAGAATTTAATCATCTATAGAAATTGTATTACACCTGATAAAACAACTGAAAGTTTCAAGCTGACTACTAAAGCACATGTACTGTACACATGTACCTGAATTACCTGCTGTAGGAAACCAAAAAGCATCAAAGAAGATAATGTTCACTGCACCCCTCACTTACCGTGTGAGCGCCCTCGGCTTGGCCTCCTCCTTACTATTAAACTTGACTCAGACAAGGAGCGTGTAAGTCTTCTGCCGAGTCCTGGGTGGGGTGAGTGATGTGAGTGAGGGTGATGATCATGGTGGTGGTGGTGATGGTGTGAATGGTCACTGGAAGGGTGGTGTGGGGACAGCTTGGGGCTACCACTGCTGCCACCAGCACCAGCTTTGAGGGACCCTCCACCAACGCTGCCACGACGTTTACGAGCAAATGGACTGCGCTCACTGCTCCCTGTTGAATAATTACATCTTGTAAATACTATAAAGAATGGCAAAAAATTTTCCAATTATAAATAAACAACAATATACAGTCAGTCCTCGACTTACAACGGGGTTAGGGACTGACGACCAGGTCGTAAGTCGAATTGGTCGCAAGTCAAAAATGTGAAAATAATATAGAAAATCTAAAATGGGTGTCTCTTTTTCTTCTCAGCACCACGAGAACTCTCACTTTTAAGCTTGCCATCCATTTTAAAGGGAATTACAAACGAAAATTTTGTCAGTACACAGTGCAATCACTAACGTCGGGACTCGAAAATACGTAATTTGAAAAATATTTTATAAGACTGCGGCGGTCGTATGTCCGGGTGGTCGTAAGTCGAGGAGTACCTGTAATTATACCACATTGTCCAAGTGCCCTTCCATGTGATATAGGAAAGTAACTAATGTACATCTCATATTTCTCTACACCAACACACTACTGTACAGTACAGTGGTCTACATGTTATAGACAAGACACTAAATATGGTAGAAGAACCATATGAAAGAATAGACAAACAGATAAAGCAGTGATTCTATACTCCCCCATGTTGAGAAGTATGAAAATAAAGAGAGCACATGAACATTTATAAAGACCTGATAACAGCAGTTTTCTGAGCAAATTCTGTTCCAGCTATTGAGCTTCTATTCTCTTTCTTGTTATTTTCCATTACCGGTATTTCTTTCACTTCCACTCAGACACCAAACAATCTTCATACACTGTATTTCACAAAGTTCCCTAACTTCACCACAGAACACCTCTACTAAATCAATATATCCTGCACATAACCTCATTTCTTTTCTCAATGAACACTATGATGGTAAAACTTTAATTTATTCATCCATTCTTCCACATGTATTCTCAAGGGATTAGACTAAGTATTTAGGCTGATGGCCTAAAGAGGATTTTAAGGGGGTGGAGACCTGGTGGTCCATAGCATACCTTGTGGGACAAACTAAATAGAATGAGTGATGAAATCAATCTTGATATGCTAATGAATTAACTAGATTGAGTTTATATTTCCAAGACCTTTAGATAGATAAACTTTTAAATCTAGGAACAATCTAAATCATTCAATATGCCAGCTCCATCAGACATTCTGACCAGTTACAGTTCTGAATAAAAATCCAAGTTTTTCCTTATTCATAACTAATTTTTGCAATTGTGAACTTTAAAAATTATCAATCACTACAAAGCCCTTACCTACTATAAATGACATATTTTCCTTTCTCACCAAACAATGTTACCTAAATACACATGAAGTATGGGTGAGTCAGCTCCTGAAACTAACCTTGAGAGCTCACACTGTCTGCCTGTGCTTCCTCCTGTAGGTGTGAGAGTGGTGGAGGCCCAGCATTATGATTGTCTGGTGCATTGACCTGACGATCCATACGCACACTACTCCAGCTCCGCGCAAAACTGCTCCTCACAGACTATGGCACAAATACAGTACGATAGTACAATTTGCAATCATGACAATCAAATAGTTCTTAAATTTAAAAAATCCTTGTACTGTATAGATTTACATTAAACCCTGAAAGCTCTAGATACAGTAATCAAGTTAATTTACTCAACTAACATAATATAAAAGCAATTACCTGTATAGCAAAGTTCTACAGTACAGTACTGTACTAATAATTTTAGAACTGCTCATTTACTTTACCTTCTTCTTAAATGATTCCACACAATATTCAAGACAGTTTTTCTAAGACCCTTATATTTACCATCCCACACTACAGTAATATCTCCGTTAGCTGGAATCCTTCAAACCCAGAACTCTCCGATAGCCGGAAGTGAGATTGGGAACGATATTCCGAGGGGCAAATTTTCCAGAAAATTCCGGGGATGGGGGAGTTTTTTCCGGGTTTGAGAGATGAAAATCAGGCGCATTTTCAGGAAATTCCGATAAAATTTTTCCATTACAGTAGAGTCGGGATATGTAGTGAAATAGGGTCCAAGGATGTTCGCTATATACTAAATCACGATATACAATTACATGTAATCAATGGGGGAAATTGGGTTAGGTTCTGGAGGTCTATAAAAGTGACTAAATTTGACGTAAAATGGCACAGTCTAAAGTTGGCAGAATATAAATTGCATTGCTGGAATCCTTGCAAGATAACGAATAATTATGTAGATAATCATATATTTTGCGGAAGAGAAAAAATTTAAGTCCTATGTACTAAAATGTACTAATTAATACTAAAATTGTTATGTCTATTGCAAACTATAACATGTTTATATTCAAATTAGTCACTATTTTACAAGAATTCCAGCAATGTTAATTATATTCTCTTAAGTCAATTCATTGACATTTTATAAGAGAAAAATGTAAACTCCCTCTACTGTATATGACTTAAATAAACTCCACTAGGTAACCTTGTCTGTGCTCAGGCCCAGCTGTCATAATAAATCAACTCCCTTCCGACTTCCAGTAAGAGTGACTGTGGTTTTTAGGCTTAAGTTTTGATCATATAAAATGACATAGACTAAAGTTAGCAGATTATAATTTGCATTGCCGGAATCCTTGCAAGACAGCAAATAATTTGAATATAGACATCACATATTTTGCACAAGAGAAAAAACAATTCAACTCATATTTGGGGGGCTATTTCGGGAATTTTTAGGAGTGTTTCTGACTTTGTACGGTTTTTGGCTTTATGTGAGGTCCCAAGAACATAACCCCACGTAAGTTGTGAGTACTGTAAATAAATTTATCACTATATATTGGAAAATTTAGATAATTTTGGTAGTACAGTACTGATAAATTATAAATATTTCCTGCCCGATTTCCCTAGCGAAATAAAAACAATTATCGCTATATTGTAAAATAGGAAAATGTCGATAATTTTGGTAGCCGTCATATAAAAAAATAATTACATAAAGTCGCTATATATCCCAACCCTACTGTACCCGGAAAATTCCAGGAATGAGGGATATTTTTCCCGGTTCGAGATATGATGTAACTGGCAATTTCTGGAACTTCCAAGAACACAATCCGGTTACCTGGAAAATTCCGGGGATGAGGAATATTTTTCTGGGTTCGAGAGATAATGTAATGGGAAATTTCTAAGACTTCCGAGAACATTTTTCCGTTACCAAGATAATTCCGGAAATTCCTGGGATGAGGGATTTTTTTCCAGCTTTGAGAGAGTCGTCTCGTTACCCAGAAATCTCTCATTCCGGAAGAGCTCTGCACCAATTGTTCCGGCTAACGGGGATAACACTGCGAAAACACTATCAAACCCTTCAGGGTAATGACTAAGAAGTTTAAATTGTTTCTGTCCTACTTTAATTAAAACTTCAAATTGTATGTCTCAACTTCTCTCTTGAAATTAACACCTTATACACCACTAGACAAAATTTACTACTGTTTATCATATACAACTACCATAAAGTACTTACATCCAGTCCCATTAATTTAGTTCCTCTCTTGATTAAACGGCGCTCAGTCACACGCTCCAAGGGGAGATTATTGAGCTCCAGCCCATATACATGTCGAGCAAGCACACGGGTGAGGGTGTCCAGGGTTTTCTATGAAAAGCATCCAATTAATGGAGAGACCTTTGAAACATTATTGCCATTTTTAAAGTTATATGAGTCAATGAAAAGTGGGAAATACTATATCCAATTGTTTTAGTTGTCCTTTTATAATTTTTTTTAACCTCAAAACTTTTCTCACTTAATGCAGTGCCCAGAATCACGAGTGAATACACACACACATATATATTTTCCCTTCGCCAAGTCATTTATACTATGCTACTTCATTTCCACAACAGTGTCCAAATTTTGTGTTTCCCCAACACAATCAATTACTACACATAGGCACTAAGTTTGCAATTCTGCAAATAAAACAAAACTAATAATAAAAATAAAATATCTTTCTTTTTGTGTCAGTTTTCCATGAACCACTGTTTCACATGATTTTTTCTCTACCTTATCAAAAAAGCTCGGTCAACCTTCTAAAAATCCATTTCTCAAGATCTTCCTTTAACTACCTCTGTATCTATACTTTGCTAACTATCATTACTGTGCCATAAAAACCTCCACTAAACAGTCTAACACCTTGACAGTATACCTTCCTGTTGTACCTCACCACCCTACAGTGTACCTCACTCTCCTACAGTGTACATTAAACCATACCAAAGTTGATTCCTATGATAAGTGATAGATAAGTAAAATGTGCAAGCAACCTAAACAATGCAAACTTTGCATTCCTAAGTACTACAGTCATGTCTCTTTCATGTCTTCATAAATCATCTGTCTGAAATATCTGAAACTACATTTTTGATCTACCTGTATACTTTGTTCATCCATTCAAGATTATCAGTTCACACTATCATTTGAACCTATTGCCTTCTCAGTATTTTTCTTTTGCACAATCAATTTGTCATTATGTGTCAACTGTAAATTTTGAGCAACCTCACCCATTAAATGTTAAAAACTGTACAATTATTACACATTGACAAGCAAACTGTGATGTCTGTTCTCTCTCTCAACAGTTATGGGTCACTTACAAAGTACTGCACATATTAAAAGGTGGCTAGAGAGAATGAAGGAGAGTCAATGTCACCTTTGATGCCAGTCACTATAATATACAGTAGTGAGAAAGGGTTTGCAAGCACTAAAAAAGTTATTGTTCGAGGTTCTCGGCCAGAGTGACCACAAGACTGTGTGATACTCCTTGGTTGTCTCTAGTGATATTGGTGGATGAACAACAGTTTTAAACACATTTTGATAAAAACTGCATATACCTGTACAAGGTCCACCAAAGAATATCATAACTAGATACTGTGCCAACAAATATAGGAGAAATGCTGAGATGTTGCCAGCACAGTATTAAGTATCCAATATCATATTCATGAAGCTGCCATCTACTTTTTGAACAAAACAGAAGATATTACTTTTTATCACATTTGTGAGATAATACATGAGTGGTATTACTAATGTAAATGTAGTGCCATGCAGTGTAAAATATTATGGAATTCATATACAGTATATTGTATGTTACATAGAAGCAATTTTAACAGACTTTTTTATCAACTACTGTACCATAATTTTTTACTTGAAATATTCAAAGTAAATAATCTCTGTTTTATTACAAATGCCAAACACAGCCTATATACATTATATAAAACTTTAAGATTGCTTTAATGTACATGAATAGATGGAAAATGTACAAACCATTTCTGTAAATAACAGCTCTGCTTTGAAGTATAGAAAAATGTGAACCAAGACAATTTTTTTTTAGAGAATTAGTCTTAAAAGCCATTAGGATAGTTCTTACCGCCCACTCTTTGATGAGCTCATCCCAGTGGGTGAGGGAAGATAGGGTCAGCAGAAGTTGGTCCCAGAGTTCACCAGATATAGCAACACTCAAGTTGGCTTTAATCCACGATACAATTAGAGTCTAGAAGAAATAAAATCAAGCTATAAATTTCATAGGTTTAGGGTATTCAATAAAGACAAGTTGTCTTTCACAAAATATGAGGTAATGCCCATCTGATATCTTTAGTCCTCTAACATTTCTGCAGGAAATGAATCAAAGGTTAGAACAACCACAAAAAGAGGTTATGTACAGTCCTCAATACTTGCCACATTTTTGCCTAAGCTTTCCTCTTTTCCTTACTTTTCCTACAGACCCAGAGACAGGGTCATGAAAGTATTAGTACACTGCTAAAAAGGAGTCTTTGATTGTATCTAATAAAGCAGCAAAGTTCATACACATAAAACTAAAATCTTTGGAGTCAAGGCTTTACTCTATCATAAATAAAAAATATATTTTTTAAATACTACACTGTTTCTTATAAAAGTTATTTTGTTCACAAATTCATTCACAGATCCATGTGATCCTCCTCAGGAGCAAGGGGATAACTAGTGAACCAACTAACCTGGAAAAGAGCTGAAGCAAAGCGTCCCCCAAGGGAATCCTCTTTGTGCGTGGTGGGTCGTCCACATAAAGTTTGGGAAGTCACGTGAAGTAGCACCACTAATAGTTGTTCCCTGTGGTTAAATTGTTAGTAAATATACTCATTTAATAATATTACACATCTCACCCCTCTAAATACAAGTCTTGGTAAATTTACGATTCCTCTCTGGGGTTAATACTGAAAGAGTATTATGAACAATGCAACTACAGGCACCTGAAGCAACTACAATATCAAAGACCACATACCAATTGCAAATTTACAATAGATAGTAAAACTTATGTATTCTGTTTAATTATCCTACTTTTTCTCTTTTAAGAAGTGAAAAATAATAGTAGGAGTAGTATGAACTGTAAATGCCCCCACCAAAAATAGCAGGTAAACCAATACAAGTTACCTTCGAGAACATAGCCCTGACCAAACATGAGTCTAATAATAATAATAATAATAATAATAAACGGTTTATTAATAGAGTTGCAGCCGGTGGCTGAAAATATACAGACTTACATTTAATTTAGACATAATGATATAATATGCATTGAATACATTTACAGGGCTGTGCAGTACATAAATCAGGAGTTGTTTGTCTAATGAAGAAATGGGCGCTAGTTGATAATATTGTATCAGATTGCAAAATAAAACAACAGGCACAGCACTGTACTGTCTGAATCAAATCAATTTATGCATACCGGTATCTGAAATATAGCTGATGAAAAATGAATGGGCAAACATACAGAGTTGAAATCCCTGTGAAATAGGTACCAGCCAGACATACTGGATTGGACCGACAAACAAAATGACAATATATAGAAGAAATGATGTTTCACTTATGTAGCAAGTCTGAATAAAATGTATTCATGCACAGATGATAGATAACTATGTTATATTAGGCTTGGTTAACTTAGCCAGACTTGTGTTAGGTTGCAGTAAATATGAAGAAAAGAGCTCATGATAGTTCCTTAGAATGCTTGATGAATTATCTCACAAAATATCTCAACATGAACTTTAGGAGATACAATTAACAAATCTTTCAATTAATCACGCACACACACACTAATACAGTGGTCCCTCGGTTAACGAGCGCCTTGGTTAACGAGTTACCTTCCATAAGATTCTTAACTTCGGTTAACGAGCAATCCCTCGATTAACGAGGTTCTTATGAGCCGACCAGAACATGTTTTCGCTTGCATTTGGCGGTCCACCAGCTGTAGTATTAGTCTGCCAATACAGTAATCGGTTCTAGGGCTTAAATTCCTTACCATTTTAGCAAATATCAAGAAGTTTATACTATTCAATAATTTTAAAAGTTTAATATTAAATTTTTTAGTCATTTTAACAATTACGGTATTGAACATAATTGAAGGTAATGAAACTAGTTTTATGCTCGCCATCCAGCCTCTCAACACACCATACAGGCGTCAGTCTTTGTGTCTTTTCAGAGGAGGTAACATCTTGCTTGAGACTCTCTTCAACTAAATGCTTTTTTTCTGTGTTTGCAAGCAAATTATTGGTCATTCTGAAATTTATTTTACATATTGACAATATATAATGCAGTGCAGTGTTGACTTAAAGAAAATAATCTTGAATTACACCAAGAGAACTAAAATTTTATGGGTGAAATGGCGCCATGGGATGACTTCTCTTTCACCCCAATGCCTTCTCTTCTCCCTTCTCCTCCACCCCCATTCTAATTCCCATCATCATCATCATCATCATCATCATCCAGGAGCCTTCTACATACACACCTCAAAGTAAGTGTACTTTTCTACCATTTTTGTTGAATTTAGGCAATTTTCGGTGAGCTGGAACCAATTACTCAAAAACCCATTGAAACAATGGCTTCGGTTAACGAGTTTTTCGGTTAACGAGCAACCTTCTAGAACGGATTGTGCTCATTAACCGAGAGACCACTGTACACAATAAATAACAAATACCAATATGAAGATATACCATTACATTTGAACTTAGTTACCATGTTTTCTGTATATTCTAACAATAGCAAATTTGGTAACCGATCCATACAAACATTAAAACATAATAAGTAACATATGTAAACTTAGTTACCATGTTTTCTGCTCCATGCGGGTGTTCATGACCATGTACCGGTAAATATTCAACACATGTTTGCACACCTCTACTTGTTCATCCAGAAGACGAGGATAATCAGGTGAGACTTCTAAGAGGAAGACGTTTGCAGCGCTTGTTATGAAGATCTGAAGAACATTCTGTGGAAATGGTAGTCATAGCTAGGTGTACTTAACATTTTCCAGTCAAATGTTTTTGCATTGAATACATTTCTATGCATTATACTGAACAGTACTCTTAATAATATTGACTTCTCTATAATTTAAAATATATTCACATGAGTTGCCTTCTTAAATCAGGAATATATAACAACCAATCATATTTAATCAAATACAGTATGTAAACCCATCCCTACTATTTGGCAAAATTGTTAGAACCAAAAGCAAAAATAACCCTCTTCTCATTCACGCTTTTACAATTGCAACAGATGTGCTCTATAATGGTTTCTCCCTTCCATAATGTGGACCCAAGGTATCTACCAGGTTTATCTCTCTCACTTCACACAACTAAGTACCACCCATTACCAGCACAACCACTGTAGTGACATCTCTGTTAGCCGGAACAATTGATGCAGTGCACTTCCGGGAATGAGAGATTTCCGGGTAATGAGACGACTCTTTCAAAGCCAAAAAAAAAATTCCTCATCCCCGAAATATTTTGGGTACCAGGAAAATTTTCTCAGAATTCTCCAGAAAATGTGCCGCTTGGAAAATTGTTCCCAAAACCATAATTTTCTGGAAAATTATGGCTTTGGAAACGATTTTCCAAGAAAATGTCAATCCTGACTATCGGAGAGCTCCAGTTAAGAGGGATTCCGGCTTACAGAGATACTGTATTACTTTTGCAAATCAATGTTTATGGAATGGCCAAAATTAAAACGGGTTCACTGTAATCTATTTCCTTACACACCTGAAGTCCTGCCCTAATATGGATGTCCTTGTTAACTGCTCCAAGATAAGATTCATTGCGTAGGCGTCTCTGGCCATTATTTTCCTGTGCAACTGTTCCATCATCTCTCGGACTAGTTCCTCCTTCCAGTGGCTCCAACATAAAGGGTGGCATCTCTGGGGCCTAGAGTAAAGAGAATTATGTTAAGTTAACAATAAAAATGGTTTCTATATCACATAATTGTCATGGCCATCATCTAACTATTTTGCTTATATAATACATTAACAAAATATTAGAAGCAGGCAATAGGTGATTTAATTTACTTTTTTTTATAAATATTCTAGGTAATTTTTTAATGAGAAAGAAAAAAGAGGAAGTTTCTATTAATACCATGAAAATAGTACAAAATTTATCTCAGATTTTTCAATTTAAAATTAATGTCCAACACCGTAATATTTGAATATGTTAATTCAGGCATCACATACTAGGCAACCTTAAATCAATTTAATAAAATTATAAACCATAAAGCTAACAGTACACATACTGTAGAGATATCCATATCCTCATCCACACACTCCTACACAAAGGCCACAGAACACTTACATTCATCTGTATCCAATCTTTATATGTAAATATGACGGTCCTCATGATTGCTGCATAGCGGAAACAGAGGCACAGAGCCTGACGAAACAGTTCATGAATGAAGTTAATGTTCTCCCGTGATGAGAAGAATATGTCTCGTACCATTATCCCATCTTCACTTGATCCACCTTCATCACTGGAAAAGTTAATGAAGAAATCAGACAACTAATGCCAACAATAGAGCAATTTTTTCATCCTTACATCACCTCAGCATCAAATTTAATAATGAAGTACAGGGGGTCCTCAATGTGTGCAGGGTTACATTCCAGAAAAAGTTCACAAATTGAAATTGCACATGCAAAACTTGGATATAACAAAGAACCCCCTGTACAATACTTTAATTAATGACATTAATGATTTATAATCCATGTTCATGCAAGTTCTAAAATATGTTACATGTCTAGTACAGTACCTTCTGCCTTAACCAGGACAGACTTGTAGAGGGTATGAATTTTAATTATTTTTAACAAAATACTGTATACTGTACATGTTATTATTCTGAATTCATTGCAACCTTTAAGTAAGGATAGATCAAGGGGGCAAAGAAAACTAGGATATTAATGCAAGACAAGTGTGGACAGTGACAGGACAGAGTTCAAATAAAATATCAAATCACCAAGTAACTACAGGTACAAGATAATTATTGAACTGAAGATTAAGGAACAAACTGTTACAGAGGATTATCTACTACAGTACAGTACTTAAAACTGATTCCATAATACATATTGGCAGTGATAAATACAGTAAGTAATCATAAAAATTGGAATATGGCAAGTTAATTACACAGCACTTCACCATATATTTAACATTAACTGAAATTTTTAACAAATATTGCAATGACTTTTTCTTCTCTTTTTGCAAAGTACTGTACTGTACAATTGAAATTGCAAAACAAAACAAAAATATTCAGAAAATGTCCCTTACAGGAAAACAGCACAGTATACCATAATGTTTTTTCATGTCACTTACTGTACAGTACTATACAGTAAGTCCTCCTCCAACGGGAAAGTTAGGTTCCTCGCAAACGGCGTGTTCAGTGAATCCGCATTGGAAGAACTTATAATCATATGATAATACGTAATAGGATTGGGGGAATGTGGCCATTTAATTTATTCGATTATTATATAGATACTGTACATACTTTACAGTACAGTAGGGTCGGGATATATAGCGACTTTATATAAAGATTTTTTTATATCGTGGCTACCAAATTATCAACATTTTCCAATATATAGCAATAATTTGTTTTATTTTGCAAGGGAAATCAGGCAGGAAATATTTCAAATTTATCACGACTACCAAAATTATCGACATTTTCCAATATATAGCGATAAATTTCTTCACAGTAGACTCACAACTTGCGTGGGGTTATGTTCCTAGGATTGTATAAAGTCATAAACACTCCTAAAAATCCCCTAAATCGACCCAAAAATAAAAGTTGAAAAACTGTATAGTATTGTACTTAAAGAACTGTACTACTCTAAAAGACTAAAAAATTTATCTCATGTGCAAAATATATGTCTATATTCAAATTATTTGCTATCTTGCAAGGATTCCTGCAATGCAATTTATATTCTGCTAACTTTAGACTGCAATTCTCTGTCAAATTTAGTCACTTTTATTGGCCTCCAGAACCTAGCCCTATTTCCCCCATTGATTACATATGATAACATATCGCGATTTAGTATATAGCGAACATACTTGGACTCTATCTCGCGAAATATCCCAACCCTACTGTACCCACAAATGAAAAGCCTTAACTGTACTGTATTATATATGAACTAAAAATATATTAAAATACAACATAAAGACATATCCTTATATATCCTTATGATAAAAAGAAACTGTATGCATGAAATCCATTTCTTTCTTGCAAACTTAGCTGTCAGAGGTAGATAATTTAATGCGGAGCAAATGGTAATACGTTCTAGTCCTTAGTTACTCATCAAAAACAAACTAAAACTGCTACAATAAAAATAATACATGGCACATCATAAAAAACAATAGCACACATTTTATGTACAATAAATATCTCCTTCCACTATCAAACCACCCCCAAGATGATGCAGAGTGAGACTGTGGGCCACTGGCACTGGGCAACAGTTTGCCAGGGCATCACACTGGGAGAGACAAGAGGCTAGGCAGAGGCAACATTCCGTAGAAGTTTTATAATAGAAAATAGAAATTATGAGCTAAGCTTATTTAACTTGACTACCAGTGGATAAGAGGATAAAGAAAACTTATATCACTGGTGTGCGTTTAAAATGAAATAGGTCTAACTAGCTATGTCGCTAGATGCACTACTGACAAACCACTCAGTGACTCCACACATAAATTCACCTCCCATACAGAATATATGCTCTTCATTTTTCTTATTTTATAGTTTTAAATTAGATTTTCTAGTTATATTAGAGTATTCAAATGATTTTTCCACAACTTTTATAGTTTCATTACATGTAACAATGACAACATGTGAAGCAATCTCACAGGCCACAGTTGGCTGGAGATGTAAGTTATGTTTTGAGATACACACTCCTTTCTGATTGGATGAAAGAAAACAAACAACTATGGTGATGCATTCTTGTTGGAGTCCACTAGTTTTCTTTTTTCTTAATTTTAAGAAAAAAGGGGAGAGAAAACGAACTTCGTAATAAAAAGGCTGCACTCATGCCACTTTGTAACATACCAAGAACTTTAATTTTCTCTTCTAATATCATCACTCAGGGCTTTTCTTAACTACACCACCAAGTGAAGATCCTTTATGTTTAAAATCCATACTGTTTAAGGGATAGTTAAAAAAAAAAATTAAAAGTAGATCAACTCGGACAACAGCCATCAACATAACTCTGTATAGCTTACATGAGAGGGAGAAATCGGGGGCGAAGAAAGAGGAAGATGCAGGAGAGAGACAGATCAAGAAAGTATGAGAGTGCACACCCTGTACTGAGTCCACTCAAATTTTATAAATTGTGCAGTTAATTGGTCACACTTATTTTTACATGTAAAAACGAATCCGCACTGGAGAAATGTGCATTGGAGGAGGGCTTTCTGTATATCAACTGATTATTACAGTTATTACATATACTGTACAGTACTGTACTTTATCCTGTAAACAAAATCAAAGTAATGAAATGGCTGAATTTACTTGACATAAAATGCTGATGTAATGGAATCTTGATCACTGGTATTCCCTTCTGGTGCGTCACCATGACCAGAACGTCGACCGTCTTCCTCCCTGTCGAAGAAGCCAAGAACTGGTAAAGAACTACACTTTATTTTCAGATTCACAGATAAACTAAAAATAAAAAGCAATACATTTAGTAAAAATTCATAATAAACAAAAGTACTGTATATCTTATGAATTTTATTGGCAGAAAAAAAGAGTACAGTGCAGATCATAAAATACTGCTAAGATCTAATTTTAATAATATATATATATAAATATATATATGTGTGTGTGTGTGTGTGTGTGTGAGAAGAAATACTCTGGCAAGTTCAAATAAAAGATATATCAACCTTAACATAAAAGAAAGAAAAAAGTATAAAAGCAAATATTATCAAGTTAAAATTCAATAAAGTCTACAAATCAATTTGTCTTATATTCCACAAGGAATGCAGAGTCAGATCCTGGATTTCATTGGTAGGAAATGGAATGGAATGGAAATAAAGTCACAATTCTGGGTAGGAAAAAAGTCACATTTTACTTCAATACCATTGCAATTAAAGTATGAGACCAAGAGCATTTAAGGTGGTTGTTAATTGACAATGCAGTATATAAAATCCGCAGATTGACAACACCAAATTTCATGGCATTACAGTCAACCCTCGCTTTACGCGGTCCCACACTCCGCATTTCCACGTTTACGCGGTACCCTGCTGAAACCGGAATGCTCACATTCCGCGGTGCGTGTGCCCCTTTACGCGGAGAGCGGCTGGCGAGCCGCGCCATTTTTGGATCAAAACCTCCCGCCATCTCTCCCGCCATCTGCCATGTTGTGTAAGCGGTGCGAGCAGGGTGCGCACAAGGTCGCCCAGTCATCAAAACATTACCGAGTTCTTCACCCGCCACCCACCACAGCCGGCCCAAGTCAGTGATAGTGATAATTATAGTGAGGATACGGACTTATATGGACTTTGAGGGGTTTGACAAAGAGGCCCTGCAAGCCTCTGTGGTGGATAGTGATACAATTGATACAAGTGATACAGGTGAGGGCCAATAATCTGCCCTCTGCCTCGGAACCAACCCCCCATCCCCGTGCCCAGCCATCTTTTCTACTAATGTAAGTGTTAAAAAACCTAATATTATTGATATTTCTCTTAATTATTAATTGTGTGTGCATACCATCATAAAATTAAGAAGTTATTTTTACTACAACGTAGGTATTGTGTCTGAAAAAGTGGAGTTTGGGGGTCGGCCCAGTCTCTATTTCAATTAATCCCATATGTTATGTTGTTCACTTTACGCGTTTCTCACTTTCCGTGGTACCCTGTGGGTTGAATTAACCGCGTAAAGTGAGGGTTCACTGTACAGTAACCAAAAATTTTCTCATACTGCTGGACAGCAACCACTGGATCTTTTCTCACATTTCCACCACAACTTGGTTTTGTGAGTTGCATGCTTGGTATATTTGAACTCATTGTAGCAGATTTTTTACTATCAATAATTTACATGGCAGTAAACATTAATAATATTTACGATACTGTCTACAGGCAGCCCCCGGATTATGTACGAGTTCTGTTCCTATGAACGTTCTTAAGTAAAAATTGTACTCAAGTCAAACCACATACCTTATGTGCATACCATACTTACATAACAATGCTTAAAATCCCACTTTATCATAACCTAAGTCCTTATATATAACTAAAATTACTTAATTTAAGAGAAAAGAAGAAACAGAATGACAAAATACAGTAAATGAAACTAAAAAATAAGTCATCAGGTACATAAAATACTGTTCATAAGTTGGACGTACGCAACCCGGGGATCTCCTGTATACGGTTCCTCCGTAATTTTGACACAATGACGGTTTGACCTGAGTCAGTCAGTTGTTGCTAATTGCCTTACCAGTGATCATCATAATTCTCGGAATTGTCAAAGATATCATCTTTCTGTACCTCAATGGCATGGTGAGGGAGGGGCCCAGGGGTTGGAATCCTTTGGGTCACTTGTGATGGTCAAAGTCAACCTCAGGTGACTGTCAGGTTAGTAACTGACCATTGTGGAATTGTTAAGAAAAAAAACTTTATAAAAATTACATATTTCTGTCACTAGTTATACATTTACAGTGATATTTCCGTTAGCCGAAACAACTAGTGCAGTGCACTTCCGGGAATGAGAGATTTCCGGGTAATGAGACGACTCTCTCAAAGCCGGAAAAAAATCCCCCATTACCAGTACTCTCCAGTTAATGGAAAGATGTTCTCTGAAGTTCCAGAATGATGCATTATTTCAACTCCCAAAGCCAGAAAAAGACGTTTTTTTCTAAAAACCAGTTTTTGTGATATAGCCCAGAATGCGACGCCTAGCTTTAACCTAGGTATGTTCATGCCTAGCAATAACTAGCCAGGCCAACATATAGGCAATTAAAACATCTAATAATTACTTAATAAGTAATATTAGGAGGACACGTTGCTACCTGGCATTTATTTGCAATTCTCCCTCATCCCCGGAATTTTCCGGGTAACAGTAAAATATTCTCGGAAGTTCTGGAAATTGCGCTTTACATTATCTCTCAAACCCAGAAAAATATCCCTCATCCCCAGAATTTTACAGGTACCATAAAAGTTTTCATGGAATTTCCAGAAAATTACAGATTTTCATCTCTCAAACCCGGAATAAAAATCCCCCATACCCGGAATTTTCCGGGTACTGGAAAAATTTTCTTAGAATTTTCCAGAAAATTTACCCCTTGGAAAATAATTTCCAATGCCGGAATTTTCCTGAAAATTACGGCTTTGAGAATGATTTTCCGAGAAAATTTCAATTCCGGATATCAGAGAGTTACGGGTTTGAGGGAATCCGGCTAATGGAAATATTATTATATTAGATATCACACTTACTCAATAACTAGCCTCAAAAATGCAAACTCCTGTCACTTTATGTCTATAGCCTCCCAGCTTGGTGGTTCCTCTGAAATGTTGACAACTTTGCACAGACTGACTAAAAGCGGGTTGGCAGCTTAATGTAGAGATAAATTACCTGTACCTGATACTGCATTGGTCTTTTATCCTGGTATATGTTATACCGCTAGCCAGGAATGCGTATTACTGTAGTTGGTAAGGGCAAGTTGGTCTGGCACAATTTGACATTTGACCTGACAAGACTTAACGTGGAGTCAGGTGAGTCTTGGGAGAAGAGGCTCACTGGAGTGCAACAGAAAGTAGGCAACACATGTTAACAGAATGGTGCCATGCCAGGAAATATTTATGTTGTGGTTTGAGTCTTAAGTTTATGGATGAAGGGTACAAGTGAAGCAAATTATTTCAGGGTTTTTACTAGTGTTCTAACAAGCTCACTGCCTCCTGATGTAACCACCAGATCAGAGTCACAGCTTCCTCATAAATAAAATGGGTGGGTGGTGTTTACAGAATTTGCAATTAATTTAATGGAGAGTTACTGTCTCAGAACGTATATTACTTCCCTTGATAATTGACCTAAAACCCATAAAATGTAGTCACAGCTCACCCTACAGATGACACTGATTGTCCACTGCGCTGCGAGGTAGATATTACAAACTTCCGCACCCATTCGACAACTGCCACCTGGCACGTACCATAGGGGCTCAACCCTGGACTACTGCGCAGTTCTGGTAACTCTGAAAATTGAAGAAAAGCAAGGTTATATGACTTAATATAATGAAGATGAATAACTTGCCATATCTTCTAGTCTACATATTGACTCCTTTTTGAGTCTTCCACTTTTAACAGTTTCTGCTCTTCCTCTTAATAGGGTTACAAAGGCACTCTACTAAATACTAGTGGTCAAACACTCTATCAGAGATCAAACTATTTCCTTATTTCTTACCTACCTTATTCACCTAATGGCCACCCACTAAAGGTGGCCATGCCGAGGGATGGAGGTCGATGCCCAGCGTAGGATCCTTCCAGTGTTTTTGATAATTATTTTATTTTTTTCTAAACTCAGTACTGTTCTCAATTTGACAGATTGAGTTGGTAGATCATTCCATAGATCTACCAACCTCTGTGTGAAGAAATATTTCCTTATGTTCGTTCTGCATGTTAACTTGGCAAGTTTGTAGCTATGGCCTCTTGTGTTGGTGGTGCACAATGTTTCATATTGTTATGCACGGCATAGTTTTCAATACTTTTTTGACTGTACAACACACCCACTGATAAACCTTGGGCCACGTAGTCTGTTACCATTCAAGGAACATGAGTAATAAATTTTTCAAGCATGATTTTCTTTCAATGAAACTGTTGTGATGCATTGATAAGACTGGTGTCCCTCAGAATTTTCTCAAAAGTTTGCACAGATGGGATGTTAGGTTGATTGACCTGTAGTTTTCTGCTGCACTTTTTCTACACTTGTTGTATACTGGGGTGATGTTGGCTCACTTCCAGTCCTAGTGGAATGTAAATTTTATTTGCCATCTCCCCTATTACCTTGGTCCATGCTCCATCCACTCCAGGGCCTTTCAATTCTTTTGAGCTGGCTATTTTCCTTTTGATGATATCTTCTGTAACTGCTATCTCTCTTAATTCATTTTCCACCCCTAAGGTATCGGTTCTCTTAGGTACTGGCATACTATTCACTGTCTCTTGTGTGAATACTGATGCAAAGTATTCATTTAAAGCACCTGCTGTTTGTCTGTCATCCTCCAGGGACACCTTATTATTGTCCTTTAGAGGGTCAACAGTATCCTTGATTTTCATTTTATTCCTGGCATATACATAAAAAGACTTGAGATCTTTCTTAATATTTTTGGCTAGTTTTATCTCAAAGTGCCTTTAGACTGATCTAATTTTATGATTGCCCACACACATATAGGTCTACCCATCTGCTAATAACACCCCCTATATTGCTATTTCTAGCCTTCGACAAGTCATGTTTTACACGCATGTATTTTGGGCTCCTCTATTCAGTTCCATAAAATTTAGCTTGACTGCTCAAAGTTCTATTTTATAAAAAAGTAACTACTGTACAGTACAGTACTCTAAATGACTAAAGTTCATTTATTACATTACAAAAAGTATTCATACATGACTATCTTACCTAGATTTGGTTTATACAGAGAATTTGAAGAAATGAAGCTCGGGAAGATATGAGGCATATACCACATTCGGAACATATCAAACAGGTACGAAAATGACTTGCTGTGCTGTGTACGATCTTGCCATTCAACTCTTCGAACCTGGAGATCAAACAAATAAAACAAATAAACAAATAAAAAGGAATATTCATTAAGAATACAGGAAAGCCACCGATAACGACGGTTCTACCAACGACAATTCATATTTATGACCCTGGTTAATTTAGAGCCCAATTCAATTTACGACACTATTTTCTTCGTATTTACGATGAAAATGGAATAAAAAATAGAAAATATTACATTTTTATATAAATAATAATTAAATCCTGATATGTATTACTGCATACAAAAAAAAAAAAAAACGCCTTGCGCACAGAGGCTGCCGGGCTGGTGAGTGGTGACGCCAGCATCGCTAGTACAGTGTAAACAGTCGCAGCTTGGCGGGCCTCTTTGTTTTCACGCGTCTGAACAGGAAAAGGAGAAAAACTTTCTCAGGTTTCTTACGGCATTTTTGCGTCCCTATTCAACATAAGCAAGAACGCAAGTATTGGTAGTGCTGGTTCAAAAGCTAAAAGAAAGTGCATAAGCTTAGCCAAGAAACTAGATGTGTTAAAATGATATGAAAAGGGTGAGAGGTCTGTGAATATTATATGGAGCAAGCAATGAACATATTTTCTGAAGTGGATCCATTAACAGAACAAAGCATAAAATTCACAGGGACATGAAAAATGCAAATGGCCTTTACATAAAGATGTATAATGAGAAAAGAAAGCAGCTGTGCAAGGTTCTTTTGACAGCTTTATTATTTGTATGCGTAAACCATCAACTTCAGCTACACCATCAAATTCAGCATCATAAGCAGCTTCATCAACAACTTTAGGTTCATTAACAGTTTCAGCAACAGCTATGACATATTTATGGAACGCTACAGCCTCAGCGAGAGTTGAACCTGATAACATCGTTATCTGAGTAAAAACTCACACATCATCATTGGCTGTCCTTATGTTTGAGACTTTACCACCATTGGTGAGTAGAATTTTTGTTTTACATTCGTAAGTATTATTTAAAACATATATGAACAGTAAATAAGAGTTGTTTTCATATTCTTATGTAGAGAAATGACGCTATGTTTCCTTGAGTGCTCACGTATACGTTGGCATTCCCAATCCATCTCGCTTTATTTCTTTACCGTTATTGGTTAGCTACTTCTATTGTTCCATTTATTTACATTAAATAACATTACTTAAAACATATACAAGTACAGTATATTCATTTTTTTACATTAATTTTACTCCAGTTATAACCAGGGTCTTATTTTCTTCAGTTTCATATGTAGAACCATTGTCACGGGTGTAAACTAAAAAAAACAATGCCGTCTCGTCTCCTCTTGTGTGTTTTAATGTTCTACGTATTATTAATGAATTGTATTGTTCATTTCGCCTTTACAGGGTATAAAGATTAATGCAATCATATACATAGTCAGTAATAAACAATAATTAATCTTTTGTACAATGAAAGACAAAAGTCGTGTCATGAAATTTGCTGAAAACATATGCCGAAGGGCTAAACTTTTGGTGCGCTCTGCCTTGTGGTAGGGGGCCCACGAGTTATACAGTATTTAAATTCGGACAAAACTGCAACACGACTTTTGTCTTTGATTGTATATATTCTTAATAAGATAAATGATGCTATGTTTCGTTGAAGGCGCAAGTATATGCAGGCATTCCCAATCCATCTCGCCTTATTTCTTTGCCATTAGTGGTTAGCTACTTATATTGGTCCATTTATTAACATTAAATAACATTACTTAAAACATTTATTCATTATTTTACATTAATTTTACTACAGCTACAACCAGGGTTTTATTTTCTTCACTTCCTTATGTAGAACCGTCATCCCGGGTTTAAACATTAATGAAAACAATGGCGTCCCATCTCCTCTTGAGTGACCAAATTATTATTCATTTTTATTGTATAAGGTGCATTCATAAACATTATTTAAAGAAAATAATTTGCATTTTTCATTAATTTTATTGTTTGGGGGGAAAGGAGGGTAAAAAGCCACACAAAAGATATGAAAAGGTCACACTAGGGAACACATCTCATTATTATTGCTTTATTTTAATGGTAATGATTCACGATGCGATGATTCACCTTACACTGCAATACTGGAGGACACATTACCGTCGTTATTCGAGGCTTTACTGTACTATACAGGGTATATATATATATATATATATATATATATATATATATATATATATATATATATATATATATATATATATATATATATATATATATATATATATATATATATATATATATATATATATATTAATTACAATATATATATATACCCTGTATAGATTTGAGTCTTTGATATCAGATGGTAAGTGTATAAGTCCTTAACTTTTAATGATAAAATATTTTCTCAGTCTAACATATAAGGTTACATCAGCAGAGAGAGAGAGAGAAACTTACCTGTGTGACCATAAAGTCTAGGAGTGACCTGAGGAGGTAAGATGATAGATCATCTGGTGGTGTTTTCTCGGTGCTGGGGAGGGGGACGACCGGCGATGGTTCCAGGCACGTGACGCCCCCATAGCCCAGGTCAGGGGGTATGGCTGCAGGAGGGGGCACCGGGAATCCTGGTACCAGTAAGGCGAACATGCGATCCATCTCGGGGGTTTTTGACTCCCCAACTATCATGTACCAGATAACAAATAACCTGGAGATCAATAAGTCATTATTAAGTTACACAATTCTTACACCTTACATCCCCACCTAGTGAACAACTAAGTCTCTGAGTACTAAATGGAATTCGAAGGTTAAAGGCATTAATATCTTCCATCAGTGAGGCATTAATTTTAAGTTTAAAAGTTAAATAAAAAATAGTGATTATTCAAAAACCTGTTAACATAAAAACTTATCAATATACATAATTGTAAGAGCACACAGTAAAATGTAAATATCAAGTGACTATAACAGCATACTGCATAATAAAAAAAAATTATACAACAAATTTATAAAAATTTAAATTTGATACAAAAAGAGTAGCTCAAGAATATTACCGCATTGCATCTCGACGCAGCCGCACAATGTTTCCTGGGTGGAGAATCTTTTTGAATATATGTGTAAGGGCATTGCACTGCCATCGCTTTTCAAATCTTTCAGGTAAAAGGCAGAGGAGTCGATCCAAGACATACAGTGAGCATTCCAAGTCCTCTTTATGACTTTTCTGCACAGCAAATGTCCCTGAGAACCAAACAGTTTTACAAGATATGCAAATAAGGTTAAAAAAAGAAAGATTTCTTCCAACTCTAGCGATTACATCTTACATCACCCCTCCCTCAACCACCACACACAGAATCCAATTCATTTCTCTGGTTTAAAACTATAAACAAAGACCTTTTTCTTTCCACTAACATCAGTGGTGTTAAACTAATCTTTTCAGGATCTATGGGATTAAATAATGTTCTTTCTCAACTGAAAATTACCTATACTGAACAACATCCATTATAGTCAACCACAAGGAAGTGAGTCATTTTGAGTCAAATAAACATCTGCTTTGATTGTCATCTGCATCTATAACCTACCCAGGAGCAGATACACGAATATCAAAAGGGGGGAGAGGGGTTCCAAGAAGTTGTGGGTGGGGGATCATGGCGAGCACAGCAAGCCCACCCAGCTGGGGGGCCCTTTAAGCCCCCTCCCCCCCAAAAAAATTTATTTGAAATCTGACCAATATCATGGGCAATTTGAGGCCATTTTGAGGCCATGTGCACTTGATATTAGGAGATATTCTGAGGTCAATAGTAATAACTTTTTACAATACAAAAATGCCTGAGTACAATACTGCATTAAGGCAAATGTATTGGAATTTTCTGATGAAAAGGGGGGTGCAGACCCCCACGACCTCCCCTGCCCTGAGATTCCCTATACAGTACTTGTACTGCACAATACTGGTACATATCTATACTAATTCAATATGAACAAGAACAATATTTTACATAAATGAGTATCAATGAACTCCACCGACATTTGCTTATACCGTACAGTACTGTACTGTACAGTAGCAAAACAACTATCTGTGCATACTTTGTGGGAAACAATATTAGACCATGGATGATAAATTTTGGTATATGAGAGCTGTCACTAGTCACACATAAAATTTCAGAGAATATCGACCCCCACCTGCACAGATAGTTGTTTTAGCTACTGTACCTGAAACAAACAAACATTCATTTATCAGGGATTTATTAAAAACTTTTATGCATACAAGCAGATTGAAACAAAGTTGAAAATCTTTAGTTTATATGAAATTCTTCAACAGTTTCACCAGATATTCAGATATTCAAGTGAATATGCACACTTTATACCCTTGTACTGCACTGTATTTATTAACTTATAAAAGTTTAATGATCCACTGCCACTGAGAGGAAATTCTCCTTACCCTTTTGCTTTAGATTTCCTTCAAAAGTGATGAATGCCTCATAGAAAACATGAAAAACAGGGCTGTAGTTTACATCTAGGAAAGACTTCAACTCCCCAGCATCTGTATTATCTGGAGGAGATAAAAATTGTGATTAGAGAACTTAACCAACAAACATAGGAAAACACAAATGACATCAACATTTTTGGGCCATTTTCTATACAAAGCCAGTATCTGTGGACTGTAATTTTAATAGTATGCAAAAAATTGTCACAAGAAAAAAATATTTTGAAAATGCCTATGGTTTTACCTATAAAGTTGAGAATGCTATAACGAACGAAACTCCTACAACAATTTTTTTTTTTACTAATTTATTGTTTTTTTATTACAAGTATTAATGATATTTTTTATTTCAGGGGTTTAGATGCATATTTATGCACTTTTTTAAATTTTTACAATTTTATATTATATTTTTCAGTGTTAAGCGGTTGTATTTGGGGGCCTGGAACGGATTAATCCTATAACAAACGAATGCTATAACGAACAAGGTTCTCGAACCAATTAGATTCGTTATAGCATACCCCACTGTATTTGTTGACTGACCCTATTCAAACTCCATATCGCCTGCTTAATGATGGAACCCTAAACCAACATCAGGGATTCTCACATACTGTACACTTACATGAGGTCCAGAAATTCTATTCTCCATAAAACTTTGGAATGAAAAAAAGCCTCATCTAAAACTGCTCAGTCCTTAAAGCTGAATTACATTCTGCTTAACATTTCAGTCAGAGAACTCTACACATATACTGTATACAGATCCAGTTATTCATTATTAGAACTCTTTTATAAAATATTATAGAAGTATTGCTGATACATACAGTATTTCTATACATAGAAATGTAGATGATTATATTGTGTTTATGTAACAGATCCTAAAAATTATTTAATTTGGGGAGAATCTTAAAAATTCAAGTTTCTTAAAAATTCCAGCTTGTTAAGAAATGAAAAGTAAACTACTATACAGTATTTAGTTGTGCTAATGACCCTTAAAATAATTCACCTCTTTTCAATCACTACCATGACTGCAAAAAAATATTGATCCCCTCTGCATAATTAGCTGTGTTTATATACTGTACAAGGTTTCACCGAGTCTCAACCTTGATATTTTTTTTTTTTATTTATGGCTCTTTATTTTTCTTCTTATTATTATTATTATTCATATTTAAAAAATTATTATTATTATTATTATTATTTTTCTTTATTATAATTGTTATTTATTTTATATTTTTATTAATTTTATTACTATTATTATTATTATCATCATCATCATCAACATAATTATTATTATTATTTTATTATATTTTCGCCCCCAGGCCTTGATGTGGGTCATTAAAAATTACATGTTCCCGGGGGGGCTAATGCCCTTAGAAAAAATATATATATATACTCCTGTATATATATATTTGGCTTGAACTTGGATATTCCAATATTTTAAAATATTTTTTACTTATATTACTCAACTTTAACCGCACATATTCCTTCTACTTAATAGCCCAGACCACTAGCAGAATTGAATTCAGAAACTACGATATTAAGGATATATTTTTGGAATGTGCCGATTTTTTCACTATAAAGATGAGCAAAAAGATTCTGATAAAATTTTGTAACAGCACACAACCCTCACTTACAATTTGACCAAAAGCTTCAAATTTGTCCTTTTTTTAAATCTGGGTATGATACGTGGCATAACCAGAAGGTAATAAAGTAAATTTCATTCCATAAAAAAATATGTTAAATGTGTAGTTTTGCTATATCCAGCATCCTTTAGTTTTACCTGAAATATTAAAAGATTATTATATTTGATTAGGTTTGTTTGATTCTATTCTTCTGTCACCATTAACTGTGAGCCCAGAAACTACATCGATGCTATCTATTTCCTAGGTACAGGATACAGGTTCGGCAGCTGTATGCAAAACGTTGATGTCGATTGGTACAGCTACCTAATTTGCATGCATGGGCAGACTATACAATGATAGATACGGTCTGACTATTCTAACCCAACCTAACATAACCTAACCTGACCATACCATTAACAACACAGTCCATCAATACAGCTGCCAGACCTATATCTAATGTGATATTTGGCATATGGCTGCCATACCTGTATCCACTACATATTTCTTACTCATCGTGTTCCTTAATTAGTAAGAGTCACTTTAACTCTACAGCATAAGGTTGAGTAATTAAAGGTTACCAATCATATTTCATTTTTGTCTTGCCTGTGAAATCATGATGTTTGGTAAACAAGAATTGATGGCAACCACTTAATAATAAAAGCTACTGGATGTACCTTTAAACTACTGTCAAGCCATGACACTCATGACCAGGCCTTTAAAGACAACCAAAATAATATTACGTTCCCATGAATTAATCACGACTGTCTATGCCTGACGCTTGTTTCCAACAGGAGGCGTCCGGAGCCTAAATATCATGTACTGGAGTATTTTAAAGGGCACTACCATACACCCTTATACTTAAGGCAAAATAAAATGATAGAATTAAAGAGATAATATTAAACTCTCACCCAACACAGTCCGCAGATGCTTCAGACGGGTGGGCGTATCTCGCTTAATGTCCAGACATTTACTTAGACTCTTCTTCACGTCCGACGATGTGGCGTTCTTCTTGAACATGTTTCAATGTTCATAGTAGGTGTTGGTGGTCATGAAGGTCGCAGGAACCACCCAAACTGAAAGATGACCCAAAATACGCGATAATCATCCAGCACAACAAAGGTTCACAAACACTTGGCTCGAATAGGTACTCCGACCATTCACAATAATTTTACATTTTTACTAACAAAATGCAAAAACTTTATTATTACATTGATTAATGTGAATGCTTAATATATATTATTATAAATTATTTAAAGTAATTATCAGTATATATAATTATATTATGATTATTGACACTGACGGGGAGTTGTCAAATGCGCCTTTGATGTCTCTGCGACGAGACGTATACGGCATCACAAAACAGGTTGTGACATACTGTAGTCTTTACTTACAAGTTAATTCCTTGTATAGATACCACGACATTTCACATTTATCATATATACCTGAAACATACTAAATACAACATGAAATGATTTAACATTTCGTGTGACTCAGATGAAATAAGTAAAAGTAGAACTCGGAGAAAACAATCAGCAAAGAAATTAGTCAGAAAATACACCAGTTGCAATTGTCATCTATTTCGTGATTTTTCCCTAAAAGAAGATACCATCATATATTGTTGTAATAATTTCATTATATGAAAATATTTTTGGACATTTACATTTACATCATTTCTTATTTTGCATGTATTCAAGTCAATTGTAATGCGTTTAGTTATTCTGTAGTAAGGGTATTGTAGGAACGTCCACTACAGTATGTAATGTAAATTAGAAATGTACTGTATTAGCTCCTTCCAATATCAATTTATGTCTTAGTACTGACAACAATTCAGTTTTGTACATTTACAAAATTACAAACCACATCAAATTTGCATAAATATAGAGTGTGTATGTGAGATTTAATTATGCATAGACTAATTGTCTCTCAAATCATCCACAAATCTACAGATCCTTCGATATTAAAATTATGTTCTCGATCTCCCGACACTCATCTAAAATCATCCAATGACAAGTTTTCCATTGGAAATTTTTATTAGTCTTTAATAATACTGTATTGACATTTTGTCATGTACAGTGTTGGTCAAGTCTGGTCTTGAAAGAGCTTACATTCGGTGCCGTCACAACACTTTCTGGCAGATTGTTCCAAGAATTCACAACCCTCACTCCGAAAAAGTTTGCCCTCACAGTTTTCTGGACCTGAGGCTTCTTCAATCTCGAGCTGTGACCCCTTGTGGGGCGAGCGTCCGCCAGCTCCAAGTAAGGACACTTGACTGAGTAGTGCCCCTTGAGAGGCTTATATACCTCAGTTAGGTCGCCCCTTGCCCGTCTGTAGTATAAGCTAAGCAAGTTCAGGCGCTCCAATCTCTCAGGGTAGTTGAAGTGCCGAAGCGCAGGCACCAATCTGGTGACCCTACTTTGAACATTTTCAACTAACTAACAGTCCCTAGTATATCTCGGGGACCAGACGGGGTGACAGTACTCCAGATGGGGAAGCACTTCACTCTTGAAGATCGTTACGATATCTGAACGACCTTCTTATATGACTTAATAATTTATTTGCCCGATTTACCTTCTTCTCGCAATGGCCGGAGAACTTCAGCTCATTGTCAACATACACATCTAGGTCCTTCCCACATTCGGTCTCTAATAGTGCAGTTTCTTCATCCCGTTGGGACATATGATACGCCTCCTTACCGTTGGTACGCCCCGGGTGCATCCTCTTACACTTCGTGACACTAAATCTCAGCAGCCATTTCTTCTACCATTCTTGGAGCTCACAGAGATCCTTCTGCAGCTTTTCACAGCCCGCTTGGTTCTTGATTTCCAGGCTTCTATTTAGTCACCTCTTGCCCACTTATAGTATAAGCTAGGTAACTTGATACAATATGGTTCAAGAATTTTTCCTTTTCAGAGATTTATAATTTATTGTCCCCGCCATATCAACCAAGACCCTGATTCTTGGAGTTTAGTTAGATAGATAGATAGATAGTTAGATATTCAGTAAAATGTTGATTATTCAAATATACTGAGGGCCTTAGACTTCACAACCCTTCAGATCTCATTGGAACATTCAAAATCTCGAAAGGGGTGGCAAACAGGAACCCAGGCCATTTTTTTGTGATGTCAAACACCACCAACACGAGGGGATATAACTACAAGCTCGCCAAGTTATCACACAGAACGAATATAAGGAAATACTTCTCCAGACAGAGGATGGGAGATGTATGGAACAGTCTCCCAACTCAATTTGTGGAATCAAGAACAGTACTGGGCTTCAAAATAGCCCTTGGTAAAATTATCAAGAACAATGGAGGGATCCTACTCAGGACACTGACCTTCCCTCGACGTGGCCGCCTCTAGTGGGTGGCCGATGGGTAAATAAGGTACGGGATAAACAGGGTTATAATTAATCAGTGTGTTTAAAGAGATTACAAACACTGGCATAGATTTTTGTGATCGATGGGAGGAGTGACTTCCAGTACTTATTTTATATAATTTTGAGCACCAGAGGTACACAGCAATATTTTGCAACACGATAATTCTTTAGACATAAATTTATATTTCTGTAACTGCAACACAATGATTCTTCAAGTATATTATGTACATTATTAAAAGATGATTTTAGTAGCAATTAAAGTATGAAGGCATATGCATTTTTTTAAAGTTTATTACAAATTTACTCTTTACAAGAAACCCTTGTTCTCATTGAGCGGGTATTCTGTTACAGACGAAGACAGGGAGTAGGAGGCGAAGAAGATAATATCCACACAGAGTGACAGATAAAACTAAACAAATTTCCTACTCCCGCTATCATGTAGTGTTATCATGAAAAAAAAATCTTATTCTGAATTACATGAATTGTAGGGGTGATTATATAAGCCATCCCCTCCAACATGAGTGCAGGAGAGAATGTGTCCCGGCCCCATAATCCACACACATGAATACAAGTATACACTGTACGTACACATATACAATGCAGATATATAAATGATGTACACTCCAGTACATAGCGGAGGTATACAATGTTCATAGGCAGTTTAGTTATACAATCGAAATACATAAACACTGCGAGTACAGTATACAAATAATGTGTATAGACCGAGTATAACCAACAAAGCCATCAGAGGCTTATTACCTTTACAATACTCTAGATCAGTGGTTCTCAACCTTGTTTGCCCCATGCAACCCTTTCACCATATGTCAGAATGTCATTCCCCCCTCCTTTCCAAGATTGTCTGCCTCAAAAAGTGCATTCCAAATAATATGCATATAATACTGAAAATCCTTTATTTTTTCCATATTAGTATCAGTTTCCCCGAAAACCTGAGGGGGGAAATTACCCCCTGGTTGAGAACCCCTGCTCTAGATGTATGTGAGAACCATCTGATTGGCTTACTTAAGTTGCTACACAAATCAGCGTTGCCCAATGATGTAAACTGTAAATAATGGACCTAAGACTGTATCATAATTATGTAACGATAAATGTGTTTTCTTACTCCTAGTTCAGTACAATAAAATAAATCTTAGGACTGAACACCCTAACGTAACGTAACGTAACGAAACGTAATCTCCCCCCCCCCATTATTCATTTGGGTGTTTAATCAACAGGTGAAATAAGCGGGGATTCCTATTCTTTACGAGATTCACAAAGAGCACATGAATTATTAAGACTCAGCTGGAGTTCAGTTTCATGTAATCATAGTAAAGATGTGACTAACTGGTGTGTGTCTGGCTGAGCTACTTTTTTTTTATAATTGTTAAGAAACTTTGAGGATCATATGAAGATTACCACCCCAACTGGTGATTTAACATCCTAACAATAAACTAACCAAACCTAACTTAACTTAACCTAATCTAACCTAACCTAACTCCCTGGTAGTGTTACAATGTGCAGTCATTAAGAGAAATAAAGTTGGGTTGCTATTATTCATTTGATCCGGTTTTGACTTCCAATAAATTGTTCACAACAGTACCGAGGACAACATCACAATACAGATAAGAATTCTCGGACTATGACAGTTAATCAGTATATAATAGAAGACCCAACATAACTGAAGTGGTACATTTCATGGGCAGACCTGAAGAACGTCGTATTTTTAAGCAGAAACACCCTGCACGTATAACAATATTGCTGACAATCACAATATATATTATGTATTTATAAGATTGGCTCATGGGTATACATATTTTAAGCCTTATGTTTAGTGTAAATCGCCACAAACTTTCTTCACCCTTTGGCAATATGGCGGGCTGTGTTGCTACGAATGTTGTCACTCCCATCATAATCCTCGTGAATCATACACTTGTAATCATACGCCTGTAGTCACACATCTACCAGTGTATTTACTTCAGTGTCTAATGTTTTTGCAGTGAGGAATATCTGACACTACATACCTACAAACACATCTTTAGAGTATACTAATTGACATACTGTACCACTTACATATTATGACTGTACAGTATACATTAAGGCGTAAGAGAAAGCATACTTACACTACAAATAGGTACGTTCTGCTACACCGTATAAACACTAATGGAGTAGCAATGACTATCTATATATACTATACAAGATGTATTGTCCAGTATTCAACATCAATGGGGTTTAGAAAATGCCTTCCCCGTTTCTCACTACCTACACACACAGTCCTCCCTGGTAACCAAATTTAAGAGAGAATTTGAGTTTTGTTCTCATCTGGATTTTTCATATTATACACAGCTCGCCCGAAAGATTCGCTTCATCATATGTCTCGCTGACCATGTTTTGAGGTAGAATGTCTCGCTGGCCATGTTCTGAGGTAGAATGTCTCGCTGGCCATGTTTTGAGGCAGAATGTCTCGCTGGCCATGTTTTGAGGTAGAATGTCTCGCTGGCCATGTTTTGAGGCAGAATGTCTCGCTGGCCATGTTTTGAGGTGAATGTCTCGCTGGCCATGTTTTAGAATGTCTCGCTGGCCATGTTTTGAGGTAGAATGTCTCGCTGGCCATGTTCTGAGGTAGAATGTCTCGCTGGCCATGTTTTGAGGCAGAATGTCTCGCTGGCCATGTTTTGAGGTAGAATGTCTCGCTGGCCATGTTTTAAAGTATGTCTCACTGGCCATGTTTTGAAGTAGAATGTTTTGCTGGCCATATTTTGAGGTAGAATGTCTCGTTAGCCATGTTCTAGGGTGGAATGTCTCGTTGGCCACGTTTTGAGGTGGAATGTCTCGCAGGCCATGATCTGGGGTAGAATGTCTCGCTGGCCATGTTCTGGGGCAGAACGTCTCGCTGGCCATGTTTTGAGGTGGAATGTCTTGCTGGTCATGTTTTGAGGTAAAATATCTCGCTGGCCATGTTTTGAGGTGGAATGTCTCGTTAGCCATGTTCTGGAGGAGAATGTCTCGTTGGCCATGTTCTGGGGTAGACTGTCTCACTGGCCATGTTTTGAGGTGGAATGTCTCACTGGTTGCTTTAGGGGTAGGATGTCTCGTTGGCCATGTTCTGGGGTAGAATATCTCTTTGGCTATGTTCTGGGTTAGAATGTCTCACTGGCCATGTTCTGGGGTAGAATGTCTCGTTGGCCATGTTCTCTGTGGGAGACGACGGGACGTAAATGCTGCTGAGGCTGTTGTAAGGCTGTGGACACATTTCTAGGTCTGTGATGCTTTCGTAGATGTGATCAGCGAGAGAGAGGCGTACTTTTTCATTTGTTCTCAATTTCCAGGCACTTGTTTCCCGGAGGTGAGTCCCGCCCTCTGCTGCATTGCCAAAGTCATTTTCACCCGTCTTTGTGCCTTGTTTTCCAACCATTACACTGGCACCTTGGAACGGAAGTCTCAGGTGACCCTCTTTGACACAGTGCTTAAGAGAAGAAGGATTCCCTTTGTCAAGGAACCGAGGGTGACCAGGTATGGGTGGTAGTTCGACGGGTGGTTGAGAAAATGGAATCGGGGGCCTTGGCAATGTTGACCCTTGGTTGCTCCTTCGCTGTACACAAACATAGACTAATTTGGCGGCCAAAACCAAAAGCAACAGCACACTCAGAACCGGTGTTGTGATGTTGCCAATCGACGTCTTGGGAGGATGCGATTGCGGTAGGGTTGGCGATTGGGTTGAGTTATGAATGTTTTTGGCTGCCTCTGTAGTCGGACTCTCTCCCTGACTCGTCACATCAGCGGTCTCTGAAATTTATTTTTTTAATTTAAGTGTCCGTGTGTTAGGCGTGAGTTACAGCATAAAATAATATAATTGGACAAAATGGGAACCGGTGATAACATATCACAAACACAAGAAACATAAAATTATAAAATGACAAATGCATCGTCGGGTTATTCAACATATTCTGAATGATTGTCATTTGTTATTCAGGAACGCGACTTCATTGTATCTTATAGAACACCGTAAGTATTTGGATACTAGCGTAGTCTAATATTCACTTGTAAGAAAACATCCTCGAGAATATTTTGTAAATAACTGACTAAAACGCGCGTGTGCATATATATATATATATATATATATATATATATATATATATATATATATATATATATATATATATATATATATATATATATATATATATATATATATATATATATGCACTTCTACTTAGTTTGTACTCACCCCTGAAGATGTGAATTACACGAAAGCGCTTGGGAACTTCGTGTTTTTTTTTCTTTGTATATTATATATATATATATATATATATATATATATATATATATATATATATATATATATATATATATATATATATATATATATATACAGTATATATACAGTATATATAATTTTTTTTTTTTGCCTCAAGGGGCTAGTTTATTGGGCACCCCTTATCATCCTGTGCAAGGTGAAGCGCAAAAGAGTTTACAGCGCCCATCTGGGAAGCATGCATAGTTCATGTTTGCCTTCATGACTCATGCATTAAGGGCGTAAAAGCCTGAAGGGTCGTGGGTTTTATCAGTAAGTTACATAAAGTGACAGAATGATGAGTGTGTGGGGGGAAAATTTCCTGTACAATTTATGTTTATGGCAAAGCGTGGCAGGTCCCTAATAATGTCAAGTGCCAGGCTTGTCTCGAGGAGGAGGGATATCTGGCCAGGGAGGGACGAGGTGTTGGTAACAGGGTCATCAATGGTTTGTATGTAAGAAAGTCAGGAGTTACCCCGGGAGTTTGGGTAGGGCCCCTGGGAGCAGAGACTGGAGTGTCAGGCATTGAGATCCCCCACAAGGAGGGTGGGGGTGGAGGTGATATGTTGTGGTAGGACAGGTGCAGGAGAGGTGGAGGGAGGCACATAGGCATTGACAATATTAGGGGACATACCTTTTAGTGTGATTGTGATGGCTTGTACGTCAATATTGTCGGCTTCAAGGGGACGTTGAGAGGTTGGTGGGAGACATCCTTCTTGGCGTAGATACGTAGTCCACGTGCATGTCCTCATGGTGGTCCATCGATGTGGAGAACTGGAGTGGATGGGCCCCAGGTGCCGGCATGCCGGTGGGATGCTGGGAGCCGAGGGTGGTGTCCTCGGGTCCAACAGGGGTCCCTGGTACAGACAGCTCAGGGACATATGCAGGCGCAGCTTGTGGTGGGTGGACAGAATGAGGCACCACGTGTCGTGATGGAGCGGGACGTGGCACGGGGGCAGCAGGACACACCGGTGCAGGCTCGGTAGGTGCCACGCCAGCAATGGTGCCAGACGGTGATGGAGTAGGCCGAAAGCATGAGGGGTACACAGGGGGGCTACCAGCTTGTGTCAAACCAGAAGGCAGGGGTAGTCGGTGTAGGTCGGAGATGGAGGTACAGAGTGTATCAAATAGTTTTCAATACGGTTGGTAAATTCTTGGAAGAGGGATATGATCTGTGTCGTGTCACAGGAGGGGGGTTGTGGGGGGAGGGGCACTGGTGAGAGCACAAGGCCTAACAGTGTCAGAGTAGAGACGGGGGAGGAGGCCCAGTAATAGTTGAGTTAGGAGACGGCCGGGACTGCTGTGTTGCAGCCAGGTGAGGCCAAGCAGGGATAGGTGTTGTTGAAGAAGGAGGTGTTGCTTGAGACAGAGGAAGGGACGCAGAGGGAGACGGCCCGGTAGGCTGGGGGGATGGTTGCGGTTGATGCAGCCTTCGGGGAGGCTTTTCCCCTGGGACAGATGAACGTTTGGGGCATTGCCGTGAGCCAGCATTGTGCCAGCCACTTCAATTACAACACCTGGGGTCAACAACATAGCCCACACCACCACCATTGAGGTGGTCTTTGATTTTCTGGGCACAGACGGAGGAGTGATGGTTACGTGAACAGAAGCGACATCTGGGACGATCACGTCGGCAGCAGGGGATGAAGATGTGACCCCAATGGGAGCAGATGACACAAAAAGCAGGCCCGGGGTGATAGGGTTCTGCATACAGTGGAGGGAGCACTGGGTGAGCCTCAACAGTGGTTGGGCACTCCCTCCCCTTCCTTTAACTATGACAGCTGCTTCTGGGGTCTTCCCCCGGTAGTGTCGACGTATACTGAGTATACGTGGATTAAAGTCACGAGTGGGTGTGTGTGTGTGTGTGTGTAAAAGTGACATCAGAGCGTCATAACAGTGGAGGCTAGTGGTGGTGGGCGGGAGAGCCTACTCCCTCACCGCTGCTCTATATGAGATACCAGTTATCACCACCAGCCACTGATACTTAAGATACTTTAGCTACAAACCTTGGTGACTGTAAATGTAAATCCATTTTAATTTATACTGTCGTATTATAAAAGAAAATTAATGTCACTTTTGAATCTCCACTAACTTCTGGTCTAATCTTACCTGTCTCCTCACAGTCGAAGAAGAGAGTGAAGTTTTCGTCAGCTTGTTTGTTCACCAGTTCGAGTGCCAGGGCTGCTTCAGAGGCACTTTGTCGAGAAGATATACTCCACTCTTCCCAGTTGCTGACTAAAGATGTCGTCAAGTTAATTTTCACCATGTTGGACACCTCCACCTGGAGTGTGGTCTTAGTGCCTGGCAGGAAGTGCGTCATCAACGGCAATAATGGATTTGTATCAATTTTAGTTTCATCAAGGAACCCAGAAATATTTTGTCGTTTATCACTGGAATTAATTATAGTCACATTCCCGAAAACCTTCCTGTCGACGAGAAGCATTAGTCCGAGTAACCATTCGTCGCCGTGGTCAGGTCTCACGGTCAACGACACTTTTCTGTCCCTCAGAGTAAGAGTAAAGGGTTTGTTGCCAAGCAGCTTCTCCTTACAGCCTGAAACAAATACATATAATAATAATTCATCCATCAGAAACTTCCCTCCATTATAAACTACATAAAGTCTGTGTGACCTTTGAAATGAGAGCCATTGTTGTGTAATAATAATAATAATAATAATAATAATAACAATTAATAATAATAATAATAATAATAATAACAGAATTAATAATAATAATAATAACATAATTAATAATAATAATAATAATAATAATAATAACATAATTATTAATAATAATAATAATAATAATAATAATAATAATAATAATAATAATAATAGTGTAAGGGCAACACTCACTTCGTGCCAGTAAGGGCGACAACAACAGCAACATGAAGGATACAAACGACCTCCTGACCACCATATTGTAGCTACACTGAGATGTACACTGTCATGTACACCTTAAAGTACGCAATAGAGATATTGTACACTGTGGTGGTGTACTGTACACTAGTCCGGCCTAGTAGTTATGGTAGTTGTAGTGCGAAGAGGATAAAAGTAAAAAGTAAAAAGGTATTAATGGTTGTGGTAGTAGTAGTGGTAGTGATGGTAGTAGAGGTGAGCAACAACACAACGCAGCCGTCCTCTCATGGCTCTTGTTGAGTCTCGAGTGAACATGTGCTTGTGGTTGTTGTTGATAATGAAGGCAAGAAGGACGGAAGTGGCTGATAACTGTCTTCTCAAAAAAAAAAAACCTTCCTGTTCACCAGTAACAAGTAACATGAGTGATAGTCAAAATATCTTCTGCCATGGTCGTGATTTTCGAACAAAAAGGTTCACTTCCTGGCAGTCATTGCCCGAGATCTTGTTGACGGTAAAATGCTCTTCTTGTAAATGTTTGTATGTACTCTATGTACGAACAGTTCATCCAAAAATATGATCTGATTAGTAACGTAAAGTGTACGTCATGAAGAACACAAACCAGTTATCAGATATAAGAAATACAGCTCTATATAGTTAAAAATCCAGTTGATGAAATATCCTCGTTGTACTGTGCGTGATACTCTCCGTATTTAATATTTTATACTGAAAGTGAAGAGACGTCTCGGTAAATAGGACATGTTTGGAAACTTATCTTGAGTTTGGGAGGTCGGCGTCTCCTGCATCCTTCCGGTTTATCTTACGTTATCAATTGTCTGGGAAAAGTATGAATAATGATAAAAAAGATGAATTATAGATGAAAAACAAACAATAAAAGGAAAATCGGGTATTTTTGTGATTACAACGAAAATTAACCGAGCGTGAATCGTACGGTCAGTTACGTTAGTGTGGAATAATTCTTTTTTGTTACCTCTCATTTTGTATAGAATTTAGTCAAAAGTAATTTTTAGCCAACTTGTATTTCCAGCTGCCGTAGTGGATCACGACAATTTATTTATAACACTTTCTGGTATATTGATTGTGAAGATGTGTGCGTGATTGTATGTCTAATTTCTCATATACTGACTAACTCACGAGTCACTAGTATATCCATTATTCTAGTAACTGTTTAGATTAACGAATGATACCTCTTATTAGAATGAAAATATTCCTTTGTCTTAAGATCAATAGTGAATGAACTCTTGAAGTCAGTCCTATCATGATAATCGAACAATGATAACTGAGTAACTAATACATTGACACCTTCTGATATACTGTATGTGGTTAAGTTGTGATTTGGATCATGGGAGGGCAGACTGGCAAACACTGTCATGTAAGATGGGAGTGATGGGGCATAACAGGTGAGGTAAGTTAAGACCTGGACAGACAGCACAAAAAAATGGTATCGCTTCTTGCTCCAATCCCATTTTTGCTACTATCTATCTCTCTTACACCTTCCAAACATGTGAATACTACCTTTGAACCCAACTCAATGCTCTTTGAATGGTCACTAAAACCAAAGAAAATGTGGTAGCACCAAGGGTAACGTACCTACTACCTATAGTTTGTTCACTCGAGGCTTGCAACTGAGGGCCGTGTTCAGTCAATATACCACCCGACCGATTAGTAGCATCGTCGTGTGTCGGTATTCCAAAACGCTTACAGGTCCGAAGGCAGTCCCGGTGGATCAGGTTTCCTTTCGGGATCACTGGAACAAATTCATCGGGTGGGGGTACCCGCCCTATGGCATTCCCGGTGATTATATACATTTTTTCACCCTCCATTTTTTTATATATATTGAGATAGAACGTATCAAACTGATAGGAAATGAATATTGGTGATAGAAAGTCTTATTTTTTTATATACAGATTGTCCTGTTATTTACAGCTGATCATGAGCTTACAGCCAAGTATATATAAGACCGTCACTACTCAAGTCTCTGCAACATCTACTTGTAGAGAACATCTACAAGCAGATGTTGCCTGTATAATTAGAGATAACGTCAGGGTTATCTACTTATCAGTTTTGAATAATAATAATTATAATAATAATAATAATAATAATAATAATAATAATAATAATAATAATAATAATATAATGGTTACCCCTCGTGTACGAGGATTGCCGGCCCTAGGGCCACCTCGGCGTGAATTTGCTTAAGGTGTAAAAGCTGTCACTAACACAACAACCACACCCTAAGCTAATTAGTTGCATGACCCAGTGTCAAGGAATGGTCGGAGAAGACCGAAAACTCGCCAACTACATTGAATAACCTTTACCCCGGAACACGATCCGCAAATCGCTTAACAATCAGATTCCCAATTACTGCTGGGTAGACAGAGGCAAATGGCGTAAAGAAACCTGCTCATACTGTAGTTTCACCCTGACTGGGGATCGAACCCGGGTTCACTTTCTTGTGAGGCGAACATGCTGACCATTGCATGATAATTGATATTCCTAGAGCATGAAACGAGAAAATCTTTAATATATACATTTTACAGTACTTTGGTTGAGGCAAATTGGTAACTACTGTCCAACAAAAAGACTGGGTCATGACAAAAACAAAAGGACGTGGCTACTTAACAGGGAATTCCTGACCGAACAAATTGGAGGCTACTAAGCCGGGATGTTATGTTTGGTTGGAAAGTCATGTATCTTGATATGTGAGGGTCGTTAGGTCTGGTTCCGTAGGTTTACAAGATTATAGTCGGTGCCAGTGTCACGGTCTATCTCATCCCCAGTCCACAACATCGGCATTGCTCTTCTGCGCATGCGCGGAAAACGGGGGAAGTCAAGACTGCAGTATGTCTCGTTCTGAGTGCCCACTGATGCCTTATGGAACCCAGTTTTCGCAACTGCAACTAAAAAAAAATAATATTAATTTTTTTGGTAGCTCTGGAAGGAATTAATTGACCTCAAGAAATTTTTTCGTTTCATTAAGTGATGTAAATTTCAACATTATTGGGGAAATATTACATATATCTATATACAGTACGTACTGTATAACTCACAAATATATACATCAAAATTGTAAAAACTTAAAGCATTTTCCCTTTTTGATTCTAAAGGAGCTTTTCCCGGATTTTTGTATATCAAGCTACGGAAAAAAGTTAGTGATACTAAATAGTACTACTACTACTGTTGCTATTACCACTACTACTACTACTGCTACTCCTACTCATAATACTAATGATACATGTAATACAACGGAAGCAGATGGTGGTGAAGAGAGGATGCACCCGTGTGACACCTTATCTACTTCCTCTGCCCTGTTTGTTTCCAGTAACACTGATAAAGACTCCGGATCTTAGATATGGTGATGTTTATGACTTATATTTTGAAAATAGTTGTATAAATATTTATAGTATACTGTTGTTAATGCCTTACAGGATATAAGCATGAGATGGTTTTCTTAGGTTATCTTTGGTCGAATCGACTTACTATTTACAATTATTTGTATACTTGCACAGTGTATATACATTATTTTTATACTTAGACTGTCTATGTACACAGTTTGTTCACCTTTATTATTTATGTACCGCTTTGTATACCTGCACTATCTATGTAAAGCACATTTGGAATCTAAATTAACTTTTCTGATGATTTCATTGAATATATACAGGGTATCTGTCTCTCTGTCCAGGCGTCTGTAGGTGATTCTAGAATGTTCGAGAGGCGTCTGACGAGGGGTTTATAAGCGGGCATGGGCTACCTTGGGGCAGTTAGTCGATCGCCTCTGTTCATAGTGTAAATAATAAGCCTAGCACAACAACTGAAGACAATTTTTGTGCAAGTATTGTGGAATTGTTGTGATTAATATACAATGAGAAGGCTAAGGAATTGTACACAAGTAGTGTGCTGACTAAATATTTGAATGTCCGGAACATTGTGGACAACTTAACCTAACCTAGGGGAGAGGAAGATAGCACACTCCCCACCCACCCGCTCTGCAATGGGAAAACACTATTTTCCTTTGGCATATGTGTAAGTCTAACCCCTAAAATAAAATCAAAAATAATAATAAAAACTAACGGAGACAATCGATAATGACCGTCTCCTTAACTATTACCTTCATTTCCTTTATACCTTTTGTTTGCTACACTATTAATCTCCCAATGTTAACCAGGAAAAGTCAGACCACATTATGACTTAAATTCCTCCTGCACCCTCACCTCCCTTCACTCTGCCTCTCTTTTTTACCTCACACTTCCTCCTCCTCCCACCTTCACCTCACACTTCCTCCTCCTCCCCCCTTCACCTCACACTTCCTCCACCTCCCCCCTTCACCTCACACTTCCTCCTCTTTCCCCCCCCTCACACTTCTCCCTCCTCCCCTCACCCCACACTCCTCCTCCCCCACCCCCCACTCCCCAGAACATGGCCAGTGAGACATACCCCAGAACATGGCCAGTGAGACATATTGTACCCCAGAACACAGTGAGACCAGAACATGACCAGTGAGACATATTGTTCCCCAGAACATGGCCAGTGAGACATATTGTACCCCAGAACATGGCCAGTGAGACATATTGTACCCCAGAACATGACCAGTGAGACATATTATACCCAGAACATGGCCAGTGAGACATATTGTACCCCAGAACATGACCATTGAGACATATTATACCCAAAACATGGTCAGTGAGACATATTATACCCCAGAACATGGCTAGTGAGACATATTGTACCCCAGAACATGGCTAGTGAGACATATTGTACCCCAGAACATGGCTAGTGAGACATATTGTACCCCAGAACATGACCAGTGAGACATATTATACCCAGAACATGGTCAGTGAGACATATTGTACTCTAGAACATGGCCAATAAGATAAATTTTCTCCTAAATTAATTATGTAAATAAGACGAATAAGTGTTAAAGTACAGAATTATAAAGAATATTTCATTTTGTAAACTGAGAGAAGGTCCCAAATGTTTGAAACTTGTGAAAGGTCTGTACTTGAGGGGACGTCATTAAGAACAGTGAATATCACACAAACCCTTGACCCTCAGATACGTGTGACCAACATGTCTCTGTCCTATGTATTTATTTAATAAACATGCTGTGGAAATCAGTAAGATAAATATATTTACAAATTTATGAGTTATGGATGAAAAATTCGAGTAGAAGTTTGAGGGATAACATAGAAAACGTGAAGTCTTGTTTTTAGAGTATGATAAACTGTAGTATACAGAATTTATTGGATGCTTATATAGCGTGCGGCCTACAAAGCTA